CGCTGGCAGTAGTTTAGTGGAAACTGAAGAGCGCACAGTCAACCTCACTTTCATGTTCCTTGTTTCCAGGTGTATTTTTGAGATAGAAGCTCTACTGGAATGATAGCACTTCTACTTATATCTAGAAGCTTTTGGAATCTAATCTCTTGTATGTCATGCTAGTGGGTGTCCTTAATTTTGTTAAAAAAAGGGGGTGGAGAGAAGGTTGGTTGTTAGTTTTTTTTTTTTTTTTAAAGCCTTACATGAAAATTGTAAGAACCTGAAGCAGTGTGAGTTTAGTGGTTGAACTGTTCATGTCACATCAATTTAACTACCAGCAACACACTACAATATCAAGTGTGCTGGGTTTCCGTGTTGCAAAGCATTCTGTGTAGTCCATAGCTTGGACAGGGCCAGTTCACAGCAGGGAAAATAAGAATTGGTTGAGACAGAGCAAGAAGGTGGTGTTAGTGAACACAAGATGGCATTTCTGAAGATTTTCACTTGGTAAAATAGTTTCCGTTGGCTGCAGATTTGCCTCCCCGTTCGGACAGGCTGGCCTGTAATTTAGGAGCACTCTTGGATTCCTGGCTGATTGCAGGCTCCCACATAGCAGCATCCACGAGTAATACTTTGGCTAGGAAATGGTCCTATCCTGGCGGATGATGACCTGGCCTCAGTTATTTGTGCCTTCATCACTATTTGGCTGGACTATAGCAATATGAGATACCTGGGCATGAAGCCTTTAGTGCTTAGGAAAATAGCTTGTACAGAAAGTTGCAGCATGTGCTCATGGTAAATTGTGTAACGGGGAAAACATCAGGCTTGCCCTTTATTTTCTGTGCCACCTTCCCATATAGTTTTTAAACTGTTCTTAGGATCTTGGCCCTTATCTTTTTGTTGATAAATGTTCTATGCTTCGGATCAATAAAAGGTTACTTATGCTTTTTAATGATGTGGCCAGGAACTTGATAATCCTTTAAAAGACTGAAAGAGTTAGCATGAGTTTGTTATGATCTCAGAAGAATTTACTAGGTGATCTTACAAACATTGAAGTCTTCCTACTTTCCAGTCATAGCCTCTTGCCATGACCTTATTGTATGTAAAAATAATTTCGAAATTTTTGTTGAAACAAGGCATTCTGTAGTGTGCAAGTCTCATGTTTCCTGGAGAGACTGAGAGTGGTAGGTGAATAGTTTTGTTACTGCATTGGAATGAAGATGCTGTGATGTATGGTATGAAAAGCTGTGGAACTAGAGAGTGCTAAAGGTAATCATAACTGGTATTTCAGTGATAGCGACACTCTTGCATTGCAAGCAAGTGCTAACATGATGTAAGGGGTGTAGGCTATTGTCCCCATGTTCCATCGCCATTCTAACATCCAGGGAGTATTGATAAGGGCTGAAGAGAGAACTTGGGTTTTCCATTTGTAATTTGCAGACTTGTCCTTTGGATAAGGCTAGTAAGGCTGTCAGAGCAGCTCTGGAAGAATGTGTTAAGTTGACATTTGATTCTGTTTAAAGCTTGGAGTCTTTCTGATAGCAGACTTGAGTCACTTAACATTTTGTGTGGTTTTTTTTTTGCTGCATTACTGAACTGAACTGTGATTATGCCTTAAAATGACAGCATGCTACTCGGAGAGAGAGAAGTTTATGCATTGAGAGCTCACAAATACGCTGGAATCCCTTCTGAATAATCAATTCCTACGGAAATGTAAATCCTGTAGTAGCCTTATTATTCTTATGGCATAGAGCTCAGACCAGCTAATAATAAGGATAATCTCTGTAGAAGGAAGCTAATGCAAGTGTTTGAAAGCTAAAAGAACTACTATTTAGAAGTATCATTTATACCTACCAGGGGTTGATATTCTCATATTTCTGATTATGTGCATAATTAGCAACAAGAACAACAAAAATTAAATTGATTAGTGTGGTGAACCTAATTGTTTTCTATTTCAAAGTATCAAAGGAGCCTTGACTTTCTGAAATAGCTTGCTACTTATGCTCAGTGTCTTCCAGAATCTGGTTAAAAGCATATTAGCAACAAAATGCTTTCAGTATGCTGCTAATAAGTGATTGTTAAGGTGGAGATTAAGTCATAATTAAGAACCAAATACGTGATGGAGCTGTTGTCATTACTTTCAAAGCAGAAGAGCTAAATCCAGGAAACTTACAGTTAAACTGAAAAAGAAATGCAAATATTTTAAGCTGTGGAAATATTTGGAAAGGGGATTCAAACTTCCAAACTCCTTTCTGTTGCCAACTGCTCTAACTTCATGTATAGTTAAAGCTCAGAAAAATCTGGTGCAAGATCACGTTCAGTTTTTTAACCTTGCCACTCAGTTACACCGTGGAGTTTTGTGTTTTTTTTTTTTTTTTTTTTTTTTTTTTTTTTTTTTTTTTTTTTCCTGCTCCCACCTGTGTATTTATTTTTAATTTTAATTTGACATGGATTTGCTGGTATTGTTCCTGTGGGGAGAGAGATTTCTCAAAATGGCTACCAAACGAGGGCCTTAGTGGCTTCAGTTTCACTGAGAAATGGGCTATTTGGCAGTTCTTTCTAAAGGAGGATTTTTGTGTGTGTGTGTGTATGTGTAACTTGTTGTTGAATATCCTTGTATAGTCCAGCATCTTCTGAACTGTGGCAAATAAGGGAAGGATGAAGAGAGATGACTTTAATAAAGTGAAAGGGGATGCTTTTTTATTTTGTGTATGCTAGGTTCATTGCACATCTGGGTACTCCTCCCTCCTCCTCTCCTATATTTTTCTTGATTTCTGTCTCCTTTTTCCTGCTTTGAGGGGTTCATCAAATTTATTCTTCTTGTGAATGATCCTACATTAACGTCTTAACCTACTAGGGTATAGGAGAAGGGTCAGAGTGAAGAAGGTGGATTTTTTTTGGTTGGCTTTTTTTCCCCACTAGAACATGCCTGCTGTTACAAGCTGTGGTGGCTAGCAATGGCTCACACTGGTATTTCTGCAAATCAGATGCCATGGATTCTGTGCTTGATGTTTTGTTCTATGTAATGTTCTCCAAAATCCGAAGTGTAAAATATATCTTGAAAAGAGAACTGATAACATGCAGAATAACTATTATTATCTCACACTTAACTTGATGTCAGGTCCTTATCTGGTTGTAGGATTTTGCAAATATGGCCACAAACAGTATTATCCTCTGCTTAATGTTTGCTTTTTTAAGATGATTTGTGGCCTCCTCCTAAAATGGAGGCACCACTCTGTATCCTGACTAACACCTTCCACCCAGAAGAGGGTGTACCTGTATCTGAAGTTAATTAGCATCCTTCTATACTTCCTCTAGTGGCTGTTCAGTCAGATCCATGAACTGATCTGACTTGCCTGTGTCTACCCAATTTGTGGAGCAGATCAAGGAGAGTGGCTGGAACATGGAAGTGAGCAGGGGATGAGCTTTCAGCTGCAGTGTATCTGTACACTGACAAAGGCTGATCATACAACTCCATGTTTAGAATGCAATTTTTTGCACAAGATATAATATTAAAAACTTTAAACAGGTGTTGCTATTGGAAGAAACAGTCCTGTACTCTTCCTTGCAGCTGTTCTCCTTTTCCTGTTGACCTTTTCCTTTCCTGACACAGGTATGTGATCAGTTCCCTTCTGGCTATATAATATGAACTCTAACAGAGGGGTAGCATGTGCCACTGTACTGCCAGTACTAGCACAAAAAGACTGTTTTTAGATGGCATGTCTACAGTGGCAACACTCTTCTCTCATGTCAGAATTGTGCAGGTAGAATGAAGGTGGGTAGTTGAGGAAAGAATATGGGTAGTTTATGTGGCCACTGAAAACAATTACTTATGAAATTACAACTTTCTTTGTAGCTGTACAGTAGGCAGGATCTCGGTGCTGGTCTGCCTTTTTCCTTCTTTCACACACCGTTCCCTCTGCCTCCTTACTTCCAACATAAAGGCAAAAAAAAACAAAAAAGAAGAAAAAAGAAAAAATAATTAAAAAAGTCCCTCCAACTCCTTACAAACCAAAATCTGGGCTATTTTTCAGTTGGATCAGTTCTTTGATTCATTTCAGTGCAAACGTCTTTGATGGCAATTTATGGCTTAGGGAGTGTTGATGGAGCACTAGGTTGCAGTACAGCTAATTAACACCTTTTAATCAGAAATTCACCGCTGATGTTGCCATAATAAACAGGCTGAATTAACTGTGGCATCGTTGGCTGCAACAGGGTTCAAACAGAGACTAGGTGAGCTTGTAGCAGTGGCTTGCTCTTGATTGCTATCTTCCCTGCAGCACCTTTGTCCTTTCCTCCTACACAAGTTAGATGACATCTTTGTGATACAGAAAGGTTGCACTGTCCCAGAGAATGACAACACCCTGGAGCAGATACTGCCTCCTTGGACAAATTGGTCTGGCCTGCAGGTTCTGCCTGGTTCCCTAAATACTTCTCGAGAAAGGGGATTGACAGTTGTAGGCTGTACAGATGTCAGTAATAGAAATCTGTTCCCACAGTCAGCCTTTCCTAAGGCATCTGCGGAGTACACAAGAACTGAGCTGTGCTCGTAAAAGACTTCGGAGAATATTGACAGCGGTAAGCATATGTAGCAAGACTGCTATATATGTGGGTGCTTTTCCAAGACCAGTGGATCTTACATATTCATGGTAGGTTCTATTGTGAAATTGAAGGGCCTGTGACGCTGTCAAAAACTTAAATGTCCTGCATGGCCAGAATGCCTGAGGACCTCAGATCTAAGTAGTCAGGAAAAAAAGTGCCTAGTGTGAAGTGTATACTGTTAGACCACAGAAACTCCCAGGAAAATAAATGGAGCCCCCTGCTTTAAAACACTGCAAAGAGACTAAATGTGTCTGAATGTGGCCCTGAACTGTATTTTTGTGAGGAGTGGTTGCACTTGAAGTCACATTACATGCATCCTTTTTCTCGCTGTTGTAGTCAAACTGTCCATGTAGTAGGTCATATTTAACAAGGACATGGCTCATTCCAGAAACACTATAAATCTTTATCCCTCTTTACAGGTTTGCAACTGTGAGGTATGACCAGGCATCCAAGAACATTAAAAACCAGTTTATGCATCTGACCAACTACAGTGTCAACAAGAAGAGTGGAGATTATGTCAGGTACTTGGCTGGAAAGTGGAACTTCTAGAGTTCCTTCTAGAGGGTGGGTTAATTTACCTAAATTGGTCTGAAGTTGGTACCAGCCCTCAGGGATAAGACTTGTGAAAGATAAGACTTGGTGTAAACTTGCTTCTTTTGCTTCTTTTAGCTGTGATGATCCTGAAGTAGAGGATTATGGAAACAAGTGGAGCATGAGTGCAATGCTGAGGTACTTAAAACAGGAGGGGAGAGACACTGCAGGTCAGTAGAGATCCTGTTGTTTTATTCCTTTATTGGATTTTAATCATCCCACTAGTGTGAATCCTAAGAAGTCAGGGAAGAGTCACAGGGAGTCCCATTTAGCATCAGAGCAGGGTGGAGGGAAGCATTGTTCTTTACAGCATACTCTCTAGAGCTGTGCACTTATTCTCTATCCTCAGAGATGAGTCCTATCCCCAGAGATAAGGCCTATCCCCTTCCCTTTTGCAAATAATATTCTGAAATTTTCTCAGGGTGTTTTTCTTAATATTTTTACCTACATTTCCCGTTTCTTAAGGTCATCCCATTCCTTCTAAAAGCTTCCCTCCCTCTACTGCTCCCATGGCCTGCTCAGTCTGATGAGTGACCAACCTCTGGAGAACTGTGCCAGTTTGAATGACTCTTGGATGTGGTGTCATCTTTCCATGGCTCAGGTTTTTGCTGAGTGTTTTCATTTCAGTCTGTGTTTCATACAAAGTTGCTCCCTCTTCCCCACCTTTGCCAGGTCTGCTGGGAGTAAATGCATATGCGGAGCAGAATCCAGGTATATCCTTTAAGGGATACATTACCTGTGATACTGAGCTTTCAGTTACACTACTGATAGCAGCTGAGCCCATCCTGCAAATGTTGCCAGGGAACACGTAAATGATGGAGGAAGGGGTTTGAATTTGGCTTTCAGGTGGAAGTAGACGTTTTCCCCATCATGTGTATGCATGGCTGGCCGATTACTTGTACCATACATTTTCAGTCAGCTCTGTAGATATAGCTATTAATATTGATAACTCCTGCTCCCTCACCCCTCAAGTACAAGACGTGTGCTCATAGGTAAACTGCTGAGCAATGCAAGGAGGTTGCTCTGTAACTGTCTGTCACAAGGCTTCTTGCACCTTTCTCTGATGCATCTGGTTCCGGTCATATGGAGGCAGAATGCTAGCTGGAAAGTGCTGGCCATGTCTGGACTGGCGAGTTTTTTTGTGCTCTGGGATGCTTATGTGCACTTAGACATCCCCATATTATGTTGCTTCCACTTAGTCTTCCTCTGGCACAGAAGTTCGCATCTGAATTTGCTTGCATGATCCTTTGTAATTATTCAGGCCCCTGCATGTCATCAGCTGAACATGAAAAATAGTAATTGTATGCCTAAATCGAACTCTCTAGTTAAGTGGTTTGTACTAGATGTTCTCTGGGACAGGGATTACCAAAGGTTTGCGTGGGTTTGCTGAGGTTTTGGTGTGTTTGCTTGTGTTGCCTTTGAGGGGTGGGAGAGGCTGCGCTATCATCCTTACTAATTTTTCAGACTATGGCTCCAGTGTTTACTCACTCCCTCTTCCTCTCACTTTTCTATTGCTTGTCCTTGAAAACAGAAACTAAGTGTGTTGTTCTTTCTATTGCATGACTCATCCCAAACCCAGTGTGGGATCCAGGTCTCTATCTAACGTGCATCTTTTCTTGCCCTTTGCTGCATGTCTCAGCTTCTTGTTCCTGAGCTCTGTTTAGGGGTTTATACAGGAGCCAGAGAGAGCTTCCTTACTGAAACTGGAGATTATCTGTAGGTCAGCAGGACAGGAAAATATCGCCGATTATATCATTTTGAAATAATTTGTAAATCATGGTTTGGGAACAGCTGCTTTAGAGGAAGGTGCAACATCACAGAACAGTTATATCATGGAAGTCCACAAGAAAAAATTTTGTACTTCAGTGGTTGTGGCTTATACCCTGTAGTTTAAGGGCTCACCTCACTAGCACGCTCTTGTTTAATCCTTCCTAATACTCTGAGTGGGTGGTGATCAGACTCCAGCTGACTTGTGCTGATGTGCTTGCCACATGTTTCTGCTTACTTGCACTGTACTTATTTTCTTATCATACTCATTTGTGAGCACTTTTGCAGTAGGATATTTATGCACGTACATGTTCCTGCTTGCATGGATTTCCAAACAAACATTGCTTTATCATCCATAGGCTCTCATGTGCTTTGATTCACAAAGGTATCTGTCCATATACATATACTCATGCTTTTCTAGATATCATGTGCTGCTTCACAATCTACTTTTTTTTCCCCCTTCCCTCCCCTCCTTGCAGCACTGATGGCCAATGTGGAAGACCTGATTATCAAGACTGTAGTTTCTGCTGAACTGGCGATTGCTACAGCTTGTAAGACTTTTCTTTCACATCGTGGCAGCTGTTTTGGTAAGGAACTAGGGACATGTTTGTTGACTGGCTCTTGAGTTCTGTTTGAAACTTCCATCTTTCCAGTGCTACATGGAGACTTGCATTTCATATTGCAAGGAAGCCTGATTCTGTGTTTTTTTCTCAGTATAGGCTTCTGAGGTTGGAGGATGTCGAATCACAATTGCCCCTGTGCCTGCACCATTCATTAGAGTTTCATGCTAGAAAAGGGGATGGTGAAAAGAGACTTGAAAGGGAATTGGAGAAGTGCTGGAAAGTTGAAGTAACTGACCCACTAGTGTCCTTGCAAAGGATGGCTGTGGATAATGAAATATCCCCTCAGAGCATTTCATACTGTGGGCAAGATGGCTCAATGCAGTTCTGAGTTAGAGCCCTACGTGGGTCTGAGGGTTAAGGAAGAAATGTGTAATGCAGTTCCTGGAATGACAGTGGTGGTAATGCCTCTTGGGCTTGTACTTGTGCAAGAGGACCGCATGGCGGCGTCAAAGCTTATTTCTGGCAGAAGCTGGATGCAGAGCTATGTGCTGGCAAAGGGATTTGAGAACTTGCTGGCAGCAGATGCTGGGAAGGGGTCCAGAAAGCAGCGGCTGGTACCAGAGTGTGCCTTCTCCTGCTTTCCAGTGGCTGCTTCCCAACCTTCCCTAAAGAGGCCTCCTCCTGCTCTTAGCTGCCCTCCGCTCACGTGGAAGCACGCACAAGGGAGGAGTCTTGGGGCAGGGGAAAAGAGTCTAGAATGTGTTTTGGTCAGTGCTTAAACCAAAGACCAAGCTTAGCTTAGGCTATTCTGTGTTTGGGTGTTGGGACTTCTGTTTAAACTAGCTGTGGCAGGTAAATCAATTTGTGTGGTCTTTGCGTTGCATTTGGGTGTTTATAGCCGTACAGCCTGCTACACTAACGTAACTGCTGTCCTCTTTGGATTCCCTGCGCTGATGAGTCATGGTCAAGTACCAAGGAGAGGCCACGGCTGATCAGCTACCTGCCAAATCAGCTACCTCTCAGTCCTTAGCTTCTCCTCAATGACTCTGCCTTTGTTCAAAGTTGGAAAACTGTAGCATACATGGGGGCTTGAGTTAGATGAGCTCTTTAGTGAAGTAATAGTTTAGCAGCTACTCCAGAAATATCAACAACTGGATTAAAAACAAAAACAACAAAAATCCTTCTTAACTGCCTCTTTTTTCATTCTCCCATTTTCCTCTCTGTCGTGTCTCTAGATTCCACTGAGCTGTGTATGTGGAAACTAATGTTCCTCATGTACTTTCTGCTGGGCCTGGCTCTGAGGTTATCCCACTTCCTGCTGCCTCCCCAGGGCTGCACTAACCACCCTCTCAAATGCTCCCCCACAAATAAACTGTTTTGTTCCATTTGTTTCAGTGTAAACATAAATTAAGAGCTTCCCAGGAAAGAGAGCTTAAGCAGGAGCCATACTGCTTCCCTAGGGAGCCTGAGGCATTCCCAGAGCTCTGTACTTTTTGCCACCTTCCCCCACGAAGAAGTGGTGGTCCTTATCCCAAGGATTTGAGCTGCCCTTGTCATGCTGTTTGGCTTGTTCTTCATCTCCTTGTCTTGTTCTGATGCCACTTTTAACCCTGTTGTAAAAAAATTAAAAAGGCAATTTTTCTAGTCAGAATGGCTGAGTTCAGCTGTTAACATGAGGAAGAAAACTGGGAATGAAGATTTCAAGGCAGCATGCAGAGGCTCCCAGGAGCCTTTTTCTTCATTCTAGGCTGTGAACAATGAAGCTGCATGTGTGTCCTGAGAGAGATTGATCACTTACAGAATATCTCAGACTTCTGAAACATGTTTCTGAGGTTCAGATACAGAAGTAGCTTTTATTTGAAAAGATTATAGAAAAACATGAGTAACTTAATGTGTATTCTGCTGTAGTCTTTATAATGCTGTTGTGGGAGATAGGACTATAGCACAATTACCACCTTCTTCCTAAAAATTAAATCAGAAATAATGTGTTTAGATTACACTGTCAACTTTATTTCTGTAACAGTTTAGATCTGTCATTGTGCTTCATTCTTTTCCCAAGTAAACTTTTTTTACGTAGTATACATTTCTTTTAGATTTGAGGGAAGAGACTCATGCCATGGCTTCTTCATGTTCTAAAACAAGACTGGTGAGACTGTCTGTATGGTTCCAGCTGCCCATGCTTGCCTAGAAAGTGAGAGTGGTAGGTCAGAATGATTCTTTTCTAATGTTAAAGTGTGGTACTGCTCAAAATTTGTGGAAAGATTGTAGTGAGTCCCCTTTTGGTTATGCAATGTTAGCTGTTTACTGCATTTTAGTAAAAATTGATTCTCAAAGGACTTGTGATGCTCACAAGTTTTGTTCTTTGAAAGTGCATCACAAAGTAGTGTAAGTACCATGTGCTTTTGTTGCAAGCTTGTTCGTACATTGATAATAGCAACATGAACTCAGGTCTTTATTTTTTTTCCCCCTTTGATTAGCCAATAATTCCTCCTTTAAAATAAGGCTGCAAGTAAGTATGCTTTACCAGTTGTTCCTGAAAAGGGCTTGCTGCAGTACTCTGAATCAGTGCATCATCCTAAAACTGGTCACCAGTTGAGTTATTTGCTGCTGCTGGAGCCTTCTTTAAGAGAAACTGGATTTTGCACTGACTGAATTTTTTTGCACACTGGATTTTTGCATCTTGGTGTGAACAGGAGGTGCAGGGGGCATACATGTAATCAAGATGACTAAAGACTGCATTGTTCTCTCCTGGAGTAAGCACTTCTGGGTGGGCTAGAAAAGGCATTGAGGACTCCTTTCAGACAGTCTGAAAACTCTCTCCATAGGATTGTTCAGTGGTAGATGGAATGAAGGCAACTGGGTGCAGCATTTGTTTATGCCAGCATTTGGTGTAGTACCACTTTGTGCACTCACTGAAACATGAGACTGGAGAAGCAATACATTAAGTCCCTTGTTTCACTCCCTGCTCTAGCCAACCCAACAGTGACACCACTGAGCTCTTCAGTCAAGAAGGCAGGGCAGGCTAGAATATTGTGCATGTTTCTTGATCCCACCAAAGCATTACTGAGCACCCATCTTAGCTGCTTCTTTGTCCTAAGGGTGAAATTGGCCAGGCTTATGCTACTAATCTACATGAATATGGAATGGAGCATATAAAATATTGTACTACTTGTGTGGTGCTGACCTGGAGCTAAACACTTAAAAAGTCTTAATTTGTATCTAATCACCAGTCTTCAACCATCTACATTACTGCTCTTTGTGAACACTTGGTTTTCCTAGTAGTAGCAGTTGACCTGTTTGCGGTAATGGTAGTCTTTTGTAGTATTGAACAGTGTTGGCCTGCTTTATAAAGAATTTTGAAGGATACAAAAAATGTGCAGTTAAGGGTTTTCTGCACTGACTTGTTTGACATGATTACAGGAGAGTCCCTGCTTGGAGACTTAGGCCATCCTTATGTATACCACACACGTTTTTGTCTATGAAACCAGACTAAGATATGCCAAACTAATAGCAGAATAATTGTTCCTCACACTTAATCTTTCTTTTGCAAAGCTTAATCCATTCAATTTAGCTCCTTAATGTCAGTCTGTGCTCTAAAACTGGTATGTAAAGATGCCAGCTTTAATCTGAATAAGATTGTCCTCTGAGTCTTCTGGCTCCCATCAGATTCAGAAGTGCTGTACCTTTCTGAATAGGTCTCCTAATGATTGTACTGTGCCAAAGTAGTTTTTGTTAATATATGTATATCTTCAGATTTGACTGAAACAGTCATCTGAACATGAACAGTAAGAAGAGTTTGTGGAATAGGTCTTCAAGGCATAGCTCCCATAGGAGCTAGTCTCTATCCATGCACTGTTTTCCTTAATTGTCACTTCATAGCTCTCAATTGTACCTAACTGCTGGATTTAGGACCCAGAGCTTAGCTGAAAGTGAAAATCCCTGCTGCCACAGGAGTTTTTGGTTCCATTAGGAAACTGTTCTCAGCTTGCTAGCACCAGTTTCTTTAACCTCTTTTCTTAGGGCACTGTATCAGATGTAGCAGGAACGAACTCTTCCAAAAACAGTAATAAGGAAATGTCAACTTTTCACGATCAGTGGACTTGTTACCGAAGTCTGAATCAACACTATGCTCTCATTCCATCTTTTACTGTGTCATTGGTTTTGCAGTGACATTAAGGTCTTCTGCAGATAGCAAAGAATATGGAAGTGAGGTCTCCTGCATTGCTGGGGCTAAGGTTAATGGAGTTTGGAATTTGAAGTTAGAAATCAGAAGAACCTGTGTTAGTAAAGTCAGGAAATATGCTCTGTTTTTTTCTTCACTTCAGGTGTCTGTGGAGTCAGTTGTCTTTATTTGATCTACCTGCTACTACCTTTTCTTAACTTGGCCACCCAAATTTGTTGAAGACTAGGAAGTAATATACCAACTCTTCCATTCCTCGATGAAATAAGGGAAGTCAAGTGGTGGCATGAGGTGGTTATTGGGGTGCTAACCTCTTCACTGACTATGATTTCACATAATGAGTTGAAAAACATTCTCCTTCATGGAGGATAATTTATTTACCCTGTAAGATTAGCACTATAAAGGCAGCCCAGTTTGCACCAAGACTTGTGTTCTTTGTTTTTTTAACTGTGAAGATTGCCTTTTTAGCTTTTCTGCCCCCACAGTGGAAGGATAATCCTGATTCTGCCTGTTGTTTCCCCTCTAGCTGGATCATTTCTTCTAATGTTAACACTGAGAGATAAAGCCTACCTTTGTTAAAATAAAGTCCTCTGAAGAAGGGAATTAAAGAACCTGTATTATTTGGAACGCAAGGCAAGTTCCTGCTTTCCCCAGAACACTGTCCAGAATAGAGGCTTTGATCTACGATCACTTGGTGTGAGACACTGTGACCTTTTGCTTACCAAAGCCGAAACTATTATGCTGGCCTCCTGTAGAGTAACAGGAGTGATTGAAAACCTGCTGGTGATAGGTCCCAACATGCAGACTTTTTATGGCACTGTAGCTGTTAAGATGTACAGTTGAAGCAGGTACTGTACCATCACAAGGTAAAGCGATCTCTGTGTTCATTGACTGATTTACAAAATACTTAGCAGCTTCTGAAGCCTCAAGTAAGAAGGAAAAATCAAAGTCTGGAATTCCAGTGGCACAGGTGTAGTTCCTTGCACTTAGGAATTTCTTTCTTAAAATAAGACTGTCTGTTTCTGTTGCAAAAGCAGCAAAGTTGCATAGTATGCAACTTTTTTCAGTGTGTATGTGTCACTTCATAACCTCAGGTTGCCTCCACTCAGTTGCAGAAAACCTCCTCTGCAATAAGGCTGCTTCTTTTTCCCTAGTGGACAAGTTGAGAACAAAGACTAAAATTACAGTGACCTTCTAGCAATTGAGCTTATTCTATGCAAAATCATGGAAACATTGTTTGCACTATAAGCTATCTCTTGTGAGTTAGTTGCTAGATTTATAGAGAATAGCAGATTCTTTGGGAATATTTTCTAAAAAGGATTTCCATTACAGTCTCTTACAGGATTATAAGCCAAACTTGGAACACATGGTAATTTATTAGAACCAAGAAGCTTGAGACATCTCAAACCTTCCTCTTATTCTTAAATAATGACATTGGTTTAAAATAAATAAAAATCTCTGGCTGAGCTGTTGCTGCTAGACTTTAGTCTAACTCTAGCACTTCTCTTGGGAGGATTGTGAAGCTCTGTCAGCAGTGACTTGTCTTTCTGGGAGTGGGAGGGTAGACGCTGTTCCTGCTGAGTCTTGGCAATAGCCAATACCTCCTGATATAATTTCAGTCTCCTTAGCAAACTGCAGGGGTGAAACATATTTTTGTGGATCACAGTAGCAAGAGAAGGGGAGCAAGGGGAGGCACAGTAGAAACTTGCTATCTTAGTTTCTTCTGTTCTCCTGTTAATAACAACAGTGGTGCAAGAAGGGTTGTTGTATGCTACTGTTGCTGCAGCCTGAGGCACATGTTTCTGTTTTGCCCACTCTGTTTTCTTCATCCTCTCTACAAAAGGAAGCAGCAGTCTTGCTGAAGCTGGTAATTACAGAGGGTATACTTCTGGACTTTGCTATGCTCATGTGATTCTACATTTTTGTACTGCCTACAAATGACCTTGACTTTTCTTTATTTTGTACAAATGGCAGTGGAGTTTCATAGTAGGAGGATGCTACTTCTGCATTTAATCTAGGTACTGCATTTTCCACATGTGGAGGAGGGCCAAGGAGAGATTATTAGGATAATTGAAAACACAGGTAATTAATCTTATTTTTGTGCTGTAAGATCCCAGTCAGACTTGAGAACTTTTTGTGCTGCGCCTTGTATGGGAACCCGCAGGGCTTGATTCAGGTGCCAGAACATGGATGATGCATAACTGCTGATGCTCTGAGGTAGCAGAGACATCTGTCTAGGCACTGAAGATACAATTTAGGACACAGGGGAGTCTTGGGCCATTGTGGAGTGGTGGTGGAGTATTGCAGGAAACCCTAAGGTGTTGTGGGTGGTATTAGGTACCTGTGTTTAGCAATGGAATTGAGTGGAGAGGGATGCCCAGAAGAACCTACCTTCCTAATAAACAACGTGGTCACAAGGGAATGGAGCACTAGCAACGTGGTCAGGACCAGCCAAGGTCAAGAGGTATCCAATATGTATCTGTAAAAGTGCACGGAGTAAGTGAGCAATTAGGACTACTGGGGTGGGAAAGAGGGAGGCTTAAAGAGCAAGTGGTTTGGAAGAGGGAGGTAAGTGTAGGAGGATGACAAATACAGAGGAGCCAAATTATTAGCAGAGGTCCTCTGAGGGTCAGAAGGGGGGAATGGCCAGCAGCAAAAGAAGCAGAGGCTAGTCAAAACAAAATGCTCTGCTTCCTGACTGGGTTTGGGAGGTTGCAGCCTGGCAGCTGCCACAGGCCCACTCATTGCTTCTCTGCCCTGGGCATGAGATTCCTGTCCACTGGAGTTTGCTGTGCAATAAGAGTCACGGGTCTTCACTAAGTCTGGGATTGTCTTTTGAAATAACATATTAAAAGCACCAGAGGTTTCTCTTGGTTGAAGTGCTTTGTTAATGTTTACTCTTATAATCCCAACCTCCTCCTTTTTCCTACAGTGCAACCTTCCCAGTCTGGGGAGCAAGAGAGCCAAACATAGATTCAGCCTCATTTCTTTGGAGTGAACCAACTCCTTAACTCTCTGTTGTTTTGCTTCCCGCTCACTGTCTGGCTACAGAGTCTAGAAAAGTGAGCAGGCAACACTCACAAATCCTGCTGCCATTTCCTCCCCTTCCAAGTCCCCCCTGCAGCTCATTAACTTTCCATCATAAGCTCCATGAACTCTCATACAGCTCTCTGCTTAGGAAGATCTTGTCAAGCAGTCCAGCTCCCTGGAGCCAGCGTGAACGTCAGGCAGGCGACAAAAAGCCAGGGCCAGAATTCAAGGGAAGCAGCACAGCAAAGAAATTCTTCAGCTTTCACTTCAGGCACTAGGGAACTGATTGATTCCATGGAAATCTTTCTTCTCTGCCAATACCCTGTTCTGTGGTGTTTTGAAAAAATGTGCATAAGTTGCCCTCGTGGTCATTAACTGTATTTCTTAATGCTGGAAGAGAGAATTGCGTTAATGCCAACTTCTGATTTACAGTTGTCTTTGTGTAGCATCCTTCTTGCAACTCTATCCAAACTAGAGAGAACGTGTGTATGGAGTGAAGCAGTAAAATCAGTCTTGGAATGGGAAGCTGGCTTCAGTCTGGCCTGTGTTAAGCAGAACACATCTAGCAGATGTAATACGTTATGAAGGAGAGAGACATTTTAGAAGCTAAGGAAAGAATATTTTTATAGTGACTTGCTGCAAAGTGGCAAACTGTCAATAAGATAAAGAGCTGTGGGAGGTTTCTCTCTGCAGAGAACACCCTTGTATTCTTGTGAGGATATTGCAGAAAAACATATAGGAATAATTGGAAAGAAACTGATGTTGAAGGACATAATTTTCTATATCTGACTGGAACAACAAATACAGGGATTAGAAGGCAAAAGGAGAGTGAAGTTCTGTTGTTACCAGGATCCAATGAAAAAAGCAGAGTGGACTGCTGTGCTTGGGTAAATTCTGTGTGGAAACAAGTTCTGCATGAACTGAAGTTTGTGGATGGCAAAGATTTTTTTTTGTATATAATATTTCCCTAGATTAATTTTCTCTTTTCCTCACAAACAATATATTTAATCTGAATTCTGAGGGAGTGAAACTTCCCGCTTGTGGAATGCTGTTTATTCAGCCCTAGAGAGTTCACTGGATTTCACATGCATGATGTAGATAGAAATGACGTGATAGAGACTATTGTTGGACTTTACATGGATGTTTAAAGGTGCTGGAAGGTAAATTTACCATGTTTGCTGTGTTTTCAGAGCTGTATGGTTTTGATGTCCTTATTGATGATACACTCAAGCCCTGGCTTTTGGAAGTGAACCTATCCCCATCATTGGCCTGGTAAGTGATTTCTAGGTTAATACGAGGCTGGAACTGTTGCTGGAGATAGTTGTCCTTGAAACTTGTTGCCCCCATGTGAGGGCATGATTTCATGAGGCCTGCAGAGTATTTGTTCCACTGCTAAGAGCTGACAGGACAGAACTTTGCTTTTCCCTTTGCAGAAATAAACTCATTGCAGCAAAAGGCTTTGAAAGAACCCAGTTGGGATTCCATTTTCTTTTTAATTATTTCTCCTCTACAGTCCATCATCATTGTTAACACATCTTAATCTCCCACCATAGACAAATTTTGAAACTCTCCAGACTATTGTGTGGTGTTTCCATCTGCTTGGCTGAATAGATGCTTTAAGGTTTAGGAGTCAAAGCAGAGTTCAGGCATTATGTGTGACTTGTGCATGCAGATATATTATTGGGCACATTTTTTTGGTCTAGTACTTGTTAGCTAAAATCCACAATATGAGTGCAGTCTTGGCCCTTATTCTGACCTTTGTACCCTAATAAAGCTTGGGATTTATTTTAGTAGATCTCCAGCCATGTGAGTAATGTGCATATTCCTGTAATTAGCCATATCTGACCCTCCTCTTGGGTTTGCATCCCTCCCCTTTTCTTTATCCTGCATAGAAATTTCTTCAACACACTGTTCATCACCCTAGTTTCCACAGTACCTATTTGGTTTTCAGGTGCAACTAGAATGTTTATACAACATTTAATTTCTGTGTTTGTTGGTCTGTGCTTATATATGTACATAGTGGATTATTTGCATTCTTTACCACTTAAAACACTCCAACTCACACACACATCCTTTGCTCTGCTTTGTTATGATTGCCAGCCTTTTTGTACCAGTTGTTGGCATCTTTCACTATGTAGTAGAAAATTGATGATTTCTCTGCTCCCAAGGAATCCAACTTTGCCTGTCTGACCTAAATTTTATTGATGTTTCTAGTGGAAAAATTATGGATGTGTTTTACCTGACCTTACTGTCTGATCTCTTCATATCTGTCACTTTCCCTAACCGTTTATTCCCATTTATTAGAGTTAATCCATCTGTTTTCATGATTTTACATGGAAAAGGTATCGGTAATTGTGTTTTTTAAGAATGCTAAGAATTCTGTGAAAACAGAAATCTTTCCTCTATTAAACACAGTGTAGATACATTCAGAGAATGTTTCTGGCCAAGCAGAGGTAAAACAAGGCTGTATGTTTCTGCGTTAGGAGACAAAAGCTGTAAAAGAGTTCTAAAATCAACAGATGCAATGTCTGTAAACAGACATACACAAATCTGTTGCTGCTTGGTATTTACTTATACGTGTGTGAATCACCTAGACTTCCTCCCATGTTGATCATGACAATGTTAAGGAGCAATGCAAAGAAAATATGGATTTTTGGTTACTGGTATGTTCCTCTCATTTAATACCAGATAAATAATTCCTCTTGTTCTTTATTGCATGTGGGGATAGTGATGCTCCTTTGGACCTGAAGATCAAAGCTAGCATGCTCTCAGATATGTTCACCCTTGTAGGTGAGTGTAACAAAAAGCTCCTTGAATCTTTCCACCACTTAAAACTAATAAAAGGTATGCTAGAAAGCACTTGGATATTAGGTTATTACATGAGTATAATAAAGGAGAATTCTAGTTAAGGAGAAAAATTGCATTTAGTACTGGGAAGTTCTATGTCAACATTTCAGCTTCAGCCTGTAAATAATCTGGTTGTTTGCGATGTTTAGGTGGTATTAAGAGTCTATACTCTCTGTATTTTAAGATGCCACTCTTTGTTTTAAGCAAGTAACTTCTGCTTAATTCTCAGAATCAGTGTTTGTGCACTTTGAGGTTGAACATGTGGGTTCTGTTTATGCTTTGTAGAAGTGGAGTCATAATTGTGAAAGCTGCGTGACTTCCTAGTGCAAAACACCTTTTAGGCATCTGTAGTACATCTTGGTTCAGTTACTTGAGCAACTTACCCCTAATGATTAAAAAAAAAAAAAAAAAAAGAATTGTCATGTATATTCAGTAGCCTGCTCAGTTATTTGAGAAAGGAAGTCTATATCTATACTGCTATACAGTTACCCCTCTTACTGATTAAAGCATGTGCTTTTAGAGCAAGATCCAGCTTTATTCCAAAAATGTAATGCAGTATGCAAAGTTTGGAATTAAACGACACTGGACATAAAAAAAAAAAAAAGCAAGCATCCTTTTTGGTCCTTGACCAGGGACAAGAAGTCTATGTATAGACTAAGATGAGAAACACTGTGTTTATGTTTCAGGACTTGCCTGTCTTATAAACTGTCATATGGCTTCTGATTCTTACAGGCTTTGTATGCCAGGATCCAGGCCAGCGGTCAGGCCGGGCCATTAATCATTCATCTGAATCTGGCAGGAGAAATCTGTACCAGAAGCTGCAGGTAAGTGACTTCAACAAGCCAGAGCTGAAGAGAGATAGCAGGAAAGTAATTCACATTGAATTTGGCTCAAAGGTGAGAAACTCAGTGAGTGAGGGGCCTACAAGAAAGAGACTGTTTGTCAGGGAGTGTAGTGATAGGATGAGGAGTAAAGGTTTTAAACTAAAAGAGTGGATTCAGATTGGACATGAGGAACAAATTCTTTACTCAGAGGGTGGTGAGGCACTGGCACAGACTGCCCAGAGAAGCTGTGAATGCTCCATCCCTGGAGGTGCTCAAGGCCGGGCTGGATGGGGCTTTGAGCAGCCTGGACTAGGGGGAAGGTGTCCCTGCCCATGGCAGGGTGTTGGAACTGGATGGCCTTTAAGGTCCCTTCCAACCCAAATCATTCTATGAGTGAGTGAGTTTATCTGGATTTCCAGCAAAACTACAGAAAAGCTTCAGAGAATGCAGCTGAGCTATGAAAATATCTGTTTAGGCATTTTCATTTTGTTGTGGGCAACAAGCTTCCAGAAGTCTAGAGCTTTGTGAATGTATTGAAGACCTCCTCCTAGGCAGGAAGAGCTTTTGCATTTGAAATGTAGAGCTTATTGCACATATACTCCTGGAATCTCTCCCTTCCTTTCCCTTGGATCCTTGGACTGAGGCCTGGTGTGGCTTGCTGTGACTGCACATTACCTTTTCTGCTGAGACAGCACTTTCTTAGCAATGTAATGCTCAAGGGCAGCTGTTCTCTATCTCCTTCTGGCTCCACTTGGATCCCATAAATAGCTGTGAGAGTGGAGCAACCACAAAAGGCAGGGAGATCCCCAATCTCCTTTGAATTTTTACATGAATGTATATCTTACCAGGCAAGTAGACAAACAGAATATCTTGATGTTCTCTGCAGCTGATGTCATCCTGCGAGGAGCATACAGCATGGCTGTTTAACTCAAACTCAATTGGGAAATGAAGTCGTCTTCATTCGGTGATAGAGTACCAATACACTTTTTGTCCACCTTTTGGTTAAGGGAAAGTTTACGGAAATCACAAGACTTTGCTTCTTGTAAAATTTGGAATTTGAGACGTGTAAATAGTTGCTAACATGACATTTAAACACCTATAGATCTCCTGGTTGAATCCAAAGCTTCTGAGGCTCATTGTATAAATAGGGTTTCATGCAGATCCCCTCTGATCATAAAGGTGCTCTCTGTGGCAGAAAAAAGATATATTAGATAAATAGTAGAACCATTCCAGAAGAATCACAGAATCACAGAATTTCTAGGTTGGAAGAGACCTCAAGATCGAGTCCAACCTCTAACCTAACACTAACAGTCCCCACTAAACCATATCCCTAAGCTCTACATCTAAACGTCTTTTGAAGACTTCCAGGGATGGTGATTCCACCACCTCCCTGGGCAGCCTGTTCCAGTGCCTAACAACCCTTTCAGTAAAGAAGTTCTTCCTAACATCTAACCTAAAACTACCCTGGCACAACTTTAGCCCATTCCCCCTCGTCCTGTCACCAGGCACGTGGGAGAACAGGCCAACCCCCACCTCACTACAGCCTCCTTTAAGGTATCTGTAGAGAGCGATAAGGTCGCCCCTGAGCCTCCTCTTCTCCAGGCTGAACAAGCCCAGCTCCTTCAGCCGCTCCTCGTAGGACTTGTTCTCCAGGCCCCTCACCAGCTTCGTCGCCCTTCTCTGGACCCGCTCAAGCACCTCAATGTCCTTCTTGTAGCGAGGGGCCCAAAACTGAACACAGTACTCGAGGTGCGGCCTCACCAGAGCCGAGTACAGGGGGACGATCACCTCCCTAGCCCTGCTGGTCACAGTGTTTCTGATACAAGCCAGGATGCCGTTGGCCTTCTTGGCCACCTGAGCACACTGCTGGCTCATATTCAGCCGACTGTCCACCATCACTCCCAGGTCCTTCTCTGCCTGGCAGCTCTCCAACCACTCATCTCCCAGCCTGTAGCTTTGCTTGGGGTTATTGCGCCCCAGGTACAGGACCCGGCACTTGGCCTTGTTAAACTTCATGCAGTTGACCTCAGCCCATTGGTGCAGCCTATCCAGATCCTCCTGCAGAGCCTTCCTACCCTCGAGCAGATCGACACATGCACCTAACTTGGTATCATCTGCAAACTTACTGAGGGTGCACTCAATGCCCTCGTCCAGATCATTGATGAAGATGTTAAAGAGGACCGGCCCCAGCACCGAGCCCTGGGGGACGCCACTAGTAAGAAGGAAGTAACCTTTTCTGTTGCAGTAATTATATCAGATCCTAATAACTTGAAGCCCTTTATATGAAAAAATTGTAAAAGTCTCAGAAAATTGAACTGGAAGCACTGAATTTTAAGGAGGTTTTAAGCTTATCAGTTTATTTTGCTTAAAAACTACAAATATTTGTAAGGTCGGGACAGCAGAAACCTGCAAAGATTCACATGACAGAGCAGTGGTTACAAGATAAGACTAAATTCTCTTTTGGGACACTTGTCTGCTTCCCCTACGCTTACTGGGAATGGCCTTCTGTGATAGTTTTACATGACTGTTTTATTAAGAATATGATTGGGAATCGTACAGGTAAGTAGGTCTATAGATCTTTCTGTGCTTCAAGACTGTTTTGGCCTGCTTTTTGCTGAAAGTGTTTTATTTCAGGTTTTGCCAAATTCTTGATATTTCTATACCTACTCTTGGTTGTGGCTTCTTGGTTATTATGACCTCTTTTTTAAAACTTCTTCAAGATTTCTAAGTTTTGTTTGCATAGGCCATCTTTAATCATAGGAATAGTCACTTCCTGGGAAAGAAATCCTGATACCAGCATTCTGGGTCATGAGATAATTATGGTGACTTCTGTTGTCTGAATTTCACCGAACTGGACTGCAAGTTCCTTGTGCAATTCCATTGGTTTGACTCTGAGCATTTCTCCCTCTAGAGAGATGAACAATGTAGTGGCTTCCTTTGTAACTTGTTGATTTGGTCTGGAACTCTTTCAATTAATCATAAGCAATGAAGGGACCTTGGCCTGATTTGTATGGATAGACTATAGAGATGAACTTGGCAGTAGTACAGCTAGAAAAGATGGATAGGTCTCCTGAGAATCCCTTCTTATGCCCTTGGGCACTAGAGAGGAGGAAGGCAGCCTGAATACCACTAAAGGCAAAAAGAACTGAAACTCCTATGATAACAGTTTTCTTTCCAACATACTGCTGCTATTGACCTGGTCTTGCTTGTAGGCCTGATGCCAAAGGAATCCTTATTAAATAATACAGGGTACTTTTTAACATTCTGCTGATGTTTCTACACCTGTACTAGATTGTTAAATAGCATCTTGTTTCTCCACAAGAACTGGAATGATGTGGAGACGTTTCAATGAAATAGCTTCTGTTAGGATTCTTACTATTTTTTTCTTCCATCTGTTCTATGAACAATTCTACTTGGCAGCATCTGTTTCTTCTCAATACATAGCTAATAAATATTTTCCTCCAGGTAACTCTTATCTTACAAAAATATGAATTCTTGTCTAGAAAGTTGAGTTCATTCATCCATTCCAAAGAGCTGATTTCTGTGTGCTTTTGCAATGCCTCTGCAGGATTTTCAAACAGTTGAGCACATCTGAGTTTACCATTAGTGTTTTATCTGTAACGAGGACAGGATACATTTGTGGTGGATTTGAGCAAGATCTGGAATGAAGTGATAGAATCTGTTGACTATTTCTCTGGACTTCAGTTATACCTGTTTGCTTTAGGGCACTCACCGTTCCTCTGCAGCTCAGGCAGGGATGATAGTGTTTTGAAGAACCCAAGGTTTTTATTCCCTTTGTACGTCTCTTGCAGCGTCCTGTGTCTGCACAGTCCCAGCCAGCAAGCACCAGACTGGTAAGTACTGGACTTGATTCAACTCCCTTCACCAAAATAAAGAATGTGTTTTCACGTTACCTTGTGCACAACTGGTCCCAAAATATATTTTACAGCTAAGTAGCCTGGGTGTGAGGAAAAAAATAAGGTAGGGGAAAGGAGGGGAAGCCTAGAAAAGAGGAGATGGATAGGTACTGGAATATATTTGGAATACATTTCCCTGTTGTATGAGCTAAGGCTGGAAAAGTATTTAGATCAGTACTAGCAGCTTAAAGAATAGAAGTATGCAGGAGGCAAGATCAGCTGCGTCAAATCTGTCAAAGTATTTAAGCCTGCAGGTGTTTCTAGACTGCATTTTTAAGAAATTTGATAGGGATATTTAAAGAAAGCTTGCTTTCTCTTCATCAGTTGATGAAGACAGTGGCAGCACAGTGTTCTGGATTTTGTAGGATACTGAAAAGGAAAATATAAAAACAAAGAGGTGATATGAAAGCAGCAGCATATATAAGGAGTGTTGCATCAGACGGGAAAAGGGCAAGGAATATTTGTCTATATACTACAGAGGATGGAGTAAGTTTGGATGAAAAGGATAGCACAGGTGAATCTGTATTGCCAAAATTCAGGCTTCACAGTAAGTGAAGTAATTATTGTCTGTAAGACAGTTATCTAAAAGAAACTACAAAAATTTGAGTGAAGTGGGTCCAAATTGTTTGGAGGAGATTAGAAGAAAGATTTCTCACAGATAATGGGAAAAATATAGAACTATCTTTGGTATAAGTCAGACTGATCCACCTTTCTAGGTGTCAAATTTGGCACCCTCCTTGCAAGCCATATGGACAAATCAATGTTAGTGTACAATTCTAAGCACCTGGCTGTATGGGGACGTGGTAGGCATTATTTTGCTGCTGGGCTTTATGGGCACAATAGTGATGATTGATTCTAATTTTCTGCAGTTTCCCAGCAGGAAAGAAGGTAGCACAGATGGAATCATCTTGAGATCCTAATTCATTCTCTGGGCTGCCATTTAGGTCATTCAGTATAAGTTTAGCTGAGGCTATGAGAAAAGATAAGACTGGAAGAAAAAAGTCTGACTGAATAATGAGGTTTCACAGAGAATAGGAAAGATCTTTGTGCCAACTGCTGTCAGCGATTAGTATAATGAGAATCATGATGTGGGAACCAAAGATGCTTTCAGAATTTGGAGATAAATCAAAGTGGTTGGACTTATCTGTACTTTTAAAGATAAGCTGGGTCAAAGAGGAAGCAAGAATTTCATGAAGTTGGAGACATTTCTGTGCTATAGCCAGAGAGAGTCCTGCAGTAAAGGAGGAAGTGGAGGTTACTGAAGCAAAGATGTTGAGCTGTGCTTTTGGCTTGGAGGAAAGTTTAGGAGGAAAGACTAAAATCCTTTCACTTAAGGCCACCTACTGCATCACGCGAACCTGTCTGGCTACTGATTTTTCTTTTATTCTACAAATGCTTTTGTCTCCTACCCTCTCATCCAGAGGGTACCCTCTCATCTCGTCTTGTCTTGTTTTATTTAATCAGTTTCCATTAACAAAATATTTCAGTTGGCACTTGCTATGCCAGTTTTCTCTTTGAAATTTTCTCTGCTAATCACTGCAGCCTAACTCATGCTAGTGCAATGCCTCTTGCTATTGTTGCTTTATCTGTAGATTCTGAATAGTGCGCAATTTCTAATGAAATAGAGACTGGAATTCAATTCCAATTCAAGCGGTCCTTACAAAAAATGATAAAACCTGATGTTGCCATGAGTTTAGTTTTATATGAGCAGTATGGGATTTTTCCCAGAGCTTTTCTCAATTAAGGTTTCTGTTGTGTTTTTCACTTCTTTCTAGGCAAAGAAGGCTCTCTAGTGTATTCTTTGTTTGGTTTGCTCTCAAGAGGAAATCTGAATTTTATACAAAAGCATGAAAACTTCTAAGATAAACTCTTTTAATGCATTTTTTTATTATAATTATATAGATCATATTCTTAAACAGCTGTAGTGCAGAACCATGAATTCTGGCTTTAGTATTCTGGAGTGTAGATTCTGCTGGAAATGGGGTCCTGGAGTTTGAATGTGACTTTTTTCTTTAAAGTAAGTTGAGAGAGGAAGGGAAAGACTTGGATTCACATTGTCTCTGCAGCGTACCCGTCCTCTGTCTGCCAGTGATGCTGAAATGAAAAACATGATGTCCTCGGGCAGGGAAAAAGCAACAGGAAGGCAAGGCATCTCTGTGCTAGGTCTCTCCATGGAGGAGGTAAGTAGGTTATTAAATATCTTTTGTTTACCGTGACTTTCTCTCAATATATGGGATCACTTGCTCAGCAAAGAGCAAGGGCACATGTCTGAAAAACGTGACAAAAGTATAACGTTTTTGGAACAGAACTACTAGGTTTTATTGCCTCTGTCCTCAGTCATGCCAACCATACATATGCACTCCGGGCTGTGTTGGACTCCATCAGAATTCAAATGCAAGATAAAATTGCCTAAAGATGTAATATGTACCGACCTCACTCCCAAGACTGTAGTAATAGCATTCTTGTCCTCTAAAATTCAAGGATTTTTCTTGGGTTTGTTTTTCATTGTATCTGTTTTGCTAGCTATTTTTTCCTCTTTTTATTCTAAGATAAGAGTTCTTCGTCGAGTGAGAGAGGAGAATGAACGGAGAGGAGGTTTCATCCGGATATTCCCAACCCCAGTAACATGGGACCTTTATGGGTAAGTATCAGAATCCCTTAGGATGGCTTACTGTTACACTGACACTCTGTATTGAGGAGTATTCTGTGTTAGGTACATGTAGATTAACAAGGTCACCAGTTGTGAGCTTACTGAGGATTTTGGTAGAGTTTATTCTTAGTGCTGAGGATTCTTTTTTTCCTGATCCCTTGTTTTTAACTTCTGCTTTGCTTAACTGCACCTTAGAGTAAACCTTATTTTACAAGTACTGATACTGCTTTTCTGTCAGAATAAAAATGTCTTCACTATAAATAATCTATTGCTGCTATCTGCTTTTACATCCTGCAGCTGCATATACTGTGTACCTGTGTACTCTGTCATTGGGCCATAAACCCAATATAGGACTCATCCTGTGAGTGGTACTATACTTTTTTTTTTTTCTCTTTCCAATCTGTAATATTTCTTCATGTCTCTCGCTTCTTCAGGAACTTCAGCTAATAATTGGTAGCTCTCCTAATGCTCTCTTTCTATTATGGTACAGAATGTTGTTTCGATAGACTTTCTGGGATTTTTTTTATAGATCACCTCTTTCTGTATTATGCTGCCTTTCAATATGTTGAACTCTAGCTTGATACGTCATTTATTTTGTTTTGGTTTTAGATCGTTTTTAGAGTACAAGACGTCAATGAACTACATGCTGGCCACGCGTCTGTTTCAGGACAGGTAGAAAGCTTTTGGATTTGGGAGGGAGGCAAAGGAGACACAAACAGCATGAAAAGGACTAATTCCTCACTCATCCAATGTTATAAACACCAGTCTGTCATTCACAAGGGTAGTAATAGTTGTACATGTCTTTTCTAGTGTGCCAGTGACTGTGGAGGTTTCCTGCATTTTTACATGACTCAGTTCTGAATCCAAGGGCAAAAAGGGCAATATGTAAAAGGCATGGGAGTCATTGGTGTGACAGATGACACTGTAGACATGTAAAACCTCCAAGCACTTAGTTTTCTCCGTGAAGAGATGATATAGATGGTCCCTGCTTACCTTTTTGTTTCAAATTTAAAGTCCCATCAGAGCTGTCCCTCATGTAAAATAAATACTGGAAATTTACTCCAGAGGTTTAGTATCCCTATCTCTTGACCCATGTGAGCATTCTTTGATGCCTCTTCCACTGGGTTATGCTTTGGTTCATGCGTCTAGCTGAACTTCCATTGAGAGTTGTATGCACTTTCACTGTACGATTAACATCCCTCCTCTTCCTCAGTTTTTCTTACCCAAGTTCTATCGTAAGGTTACTACAGAATAAAGGTAAGGTTGCTGACTAAGAAGATGATATTAACAGAATTTTTTCCTGTGTCAGCACTGTAATTTATTTTTTTTTACTGTGTGATTTCAGGGATGTTTCTAGAGGTTTAGCTCCAAGTGACATTATCTCCAATTTGAGTTAGACAGATGTAAGCATAAGTTGCAGAACATCTGTTCAGAGTTCCTCTTTTAAAGCCTTTTTTCCTCCTTTAAGATAGGACAAAGAGGACATTCTGTAAAGTTGGCCATTTCACTTTATATATGAAAGACTTTTTCTTGCAGTCTATGATCAAGAATGAAAGGTAATATTTCCCCTTTTTCCCTTTGTAGGGACAAGATGAAAGGAGACTTCGTCACTGGGAGATCCCGGTAAATTCCTTTTAGAGAAATAATTTGAATTTTTAATATTTACTCTAAATTCATATTTCTACAACTTTGCCTTAAGTCCTGGGTCTATTCTACCTGGAATCAATCAAAATAAGAAGAGGCTGTGTTGCTTCCACTTCTCACAACTAATTTTGTCAAGTAAACAGCAGTGAGCAAAGAGTGTCCCAGCATTTGGAAAGCTAAAGTTTTTGTTGGATTGGCCCTTAAAATTGCCCCTTTTAGGATTGCTAATCTGGCATTTCTGCTGTATTGATCAGCTTTACACATGAGCTCTATCAAAAGATTACGTAATGCATGAGGGTTTTTGACTTCATACATTCATATATTCACTTTGCTAGATCCAAAAGGTAAATGGAACAACAAAATTTTTCTGTAGATGTTCCCACCTGCATCATAAAGAACACTTTGCTGGATCTTTCTGCACTGGCAGAAAATTACAGTGTTTGTTTCTCTTAAGGAATCTGGCAGGGGCTCCTTCTTGGTTTAGTCAGAACTTGTAGAAAGGTTCTCACTTTTCACCTACATTATGTTATGTTTCTGACCTAACAGTGAAGAACAAGCTATCTACGTAAAAGGTTTTGCAGGCAGGATTGGAGTCCACGTGCTCTCTCCATACTCCTGTCCCTTATTTTGTATTCTTATTGTTCAGTTCAGTTTTCCTCAATAATTTTGCCTTGAGCTGCTGTATATTGGACAGATGCTGCTTAGTTCTTAAAGCAAGACAATAGATAGATGAGTTTGGGGGTTTTGTGAAGTACTTGCAAGATGCACTTCAAACATTTGTAAGCTTTAAATGGAGCAAAGTTAGGCTGATCATAACTTTCTTTTTTTTTCCCCATGTCAAGAAAACTTTTTTGAGGAAATTTATTTTGTTGAGTTTTTGTATTATCCGGCAGAGAAGTATAAAGAGAGTTTTTGAGGATGCCTCTCTATTACGCTTTCCAGAGATGGTCTTAATGGGAGGCTGGATATGAAGCTGGAAGCTGTAGACTCTCATGCTCCGTTTTATGAGAGAAAGCTGCTCTCACTGGAGTTACGGAAGCGCCGGCGATGTCATGGCAGGGCTAGAGCAGCACGAGCAAGATCATCAGGTATGCATTACTAGAGAGTTAGATGAGCATCTAGTCAAAAACAATTAAGAGGGTGGTTAATTCATTTTTGTTTGTTTGTTTTGCCCAGAGAATTTGTGGATTCCTCATCCCTGGGAATGTTTAAGGCCAGGCTGGATGGGGCTTTGAGCAGCCTGGTCTAATGGAAGGTATCCCAGCACATGGCAGGGTTTGGAACTAGATGATTCCAACCCAAATAGTTCCATAATGCTAAGAAGTCCATTCCCACCCCCACATATATGACTAAATGTAATCAATATTTTCTTGAACAGCAGCTCGTAGCTGCATTTTGGGTACAATAATTTGTCAGTATATATGTGCCTCTATAGTTCTCCATTTTTTCAGAGAAAAATGAACACTTGGGACCTTTCAGGCTGCATTTTCTGCATTACAGTGACTCTAAGCTGTTGGAAGGAGAAATCCTTTTTATTTGAACCAATGTGGGAAAGACTTAAAAGGATACAGAGGGGAATGATCCTCATAAGTGGCTGTTCCTTAAGCCTTTATCTAAACTCTTTCCAGTAGCTACATGATACAACCTTTCCAATGGCAGTCAGTATGTTATACAATTACTTTTGGTGCTATGCTAGGTTATGCGATCTTTATTGGCACACATGAAAGCTTAGTTTTCTTAGCTTTGGTTTTCCTGATGCACAAAAATCCAAAAGGTGAACTTAAGGCCTGCCAATGAGACAGGAAAGTGCCTTTCTTTTATTTTTTGCTTGTAAAGTTAAGAACCTTGTTTTGTCTTGTGAAATTGAGAAAATGGGATTCTCAGCTGTTTAATATGCAAACAGAAAACCAGAAAGAATAATAAAAGGCAGCAATAGCTACCATGATATTCTAAAATGGTGGTGGTCTTTCCTTCTAGCAGAAGAGTTGAGTAAACCAAAGGTAATAGTTAGCAGGAGAATCTCCCTGTCTACTTTTTTTTTTAACCAGCAGGGTTGATTTCTTCTCTACTACAGGGATGTCAGAACCGACAAAGGTGTCCCTCAGATCAGACACAGAAGGTGAGGAAGAAGAGGAGGCAGATGAAGATGAAGAGCTCGATGGAGCTATTGGCTCTCTTTCGGACACCCAGGTGAAAAGCAAGCCAAAACTCTCTGACTTGGTGAAAACAACTTGCAAGGAGCAGTTGACAAAAAAACTTCATAAGAAAACTGGAGATGGAGGAGAGCCACTTGTTGAAAAAACAGATTCAAAACCTCAGTTTAACTTGCTGCAGATTCTTCAAAAGAATGGAAATCTAAGGTGAGAGATTTCTGCATATTGCCCTGAATTTTGACTGGCTGCAAATATCTGTTTAAAATATGGAGGAGTTGGACTTAGTGCCACATTATGAATGGGTGTGAGGAGATAAGAGGAGCCTAGAGTAATGGGCCTGGGTTTTTGTCTGTGGCCTGCCTAAGTGACTAATTGGCATAGGAGAGAGATATTTGCAGAGACTTGACAGTTTACCTAAATGCCTGACCTGTTAGATCAGTGTAAAGCATAAGCTGTAGCTTCCATTGCTGTTCTTTAATCAGGTGATGTAAGCTGTTCTTCAGTCAACTTGGACTTCTGAAATGCCGCTATCTTAATGCAAGATGCCTGCTGTTGAATTCTAAAATTTATCTTTTAATTCTCTGCATTTCTAAATAAATAGGTGTAAACACATGTTAAGCCATTCAAGAAAGGTTGGGAAGGAACATATCAGTGCTGCCTCTCCATAAAAATACAGACTTCTTATTTTTTTATGCTTATGTTTTGTATGTTTTTTTTTTTTTTTTTTTAACCTCTAACAGAAGTTTCTGGTGCTCAGGGGCAACACCTGAGAGCAGGACAAAAGGTCATTTGAGAGAAATAAGTTACTGAAACATTTTGTTGCCTACTGTTGAGCTTGACAGTGTGGATTGACTAAATGTGTAGAAGTCATCTTCCCCCTTAAATGTGGGTAGTAAAACTGCCCATTTGCAGATGGACATGAAAGACAAAAAATGATCATACAAAGCTGTGTAGGAGGATTTTACATTTTCTACGTAAGAAATACTGTTTTGCACAATAAGTGTCCAAAGATAGATAAAATAATTGTTGCTTGTTGCTGCCTTCTTAGTTTAGTTTCTGGGAGGATTTATGAATTATCGAATGGATTTGTGGATTGCTTAGAGGTTTTCTTCTGGCAAGAAGACTTGCTGTAATGACAGAAGATTCTGAAACCTGTTCTAAGGACGGACATAGCAATGCTGTCATCTACCTATATATAGAACTGACTCTTGCCAAGAACGTAAGCTCTGTCTGGTGTTCCTGGCAGAATCTTGCTCAGCACCCAGTGATGTTGGGATTCCCCCACAGAAGTAAGTCTTGTGGTGACTTCATGTTCCAGGACTGTGCTGGGCTTGGCCTCATCCAATCTGTCATTGATGAAAGCTTTGCTGCTGGGTCAACAGGCTGAGGAGCTGAAGTAATGACATTTTCATCCAAAAGAAACCCAGGCCTGTTCCAGTCAGCTTTTTATAAATGGCAAGACTTCTCTCTCCTTCTAGATATCCTGATGAGGGAGCTTCTCTGCCTTCCTTGCATTGGGCATTATCGATGGAGAGGTGACAGTGGAATGAATCACAGAATGGTTTGGATTGGGAGGAACCTTAAAGATAATCTAATTCCAGCCTCCCTGCCATGGGGGGGAACCACTGTACCATTCCCAGGAAAGTTGAAAGTAAAGGGAGAGAGTAAACCTGAGACAGCCTCAAGTTTCAATATTCCACAGGCTGGAGGAGGGGCAACATTTTAATTTACCTCAAGGACATTCTCCAGTTTCCTGTTTTGGGAGTCATAGAAGTGTCAGATACAGGTCCAGAACTGTACTCCTCTTCTCAAGCTGATGGTGGAGGTCCTGAACTCCTACCAGACTTGAACTCATGGTCATGAGGTGTTTGAGTTGCACCTAAAACAAGCTAGGAAGCCCTACAGAGCTCCCAGAAGAGAATCTTTTCTGATATATCCTGGCATGGTGATTAGAGTATTAGTCAGGGTTCAGGCTGTTCTTCTGATGTTGCGCTCACCTGTGAAGAGAAGGTAGCTGTGGTGGCTGGCAGCATGTAGAGCTTGGAGGTGTAATAAGGCCTGTGGTGTATTCTGGAGGTCACTGGAAGACACAAATCGTAACCAGGCAGTTTTTTCATGTTATTTCCCTCTTTGGGCTGGGCATAGTCTTCCAAAAGCATTAAAAGCTTATGATTAGGCAGAAGCGTGAGTATTTATAATACATTTTATTTTAACGTCAATTCTTATTTCCCAACATATGTGAAATTGCTGTGCATTGTTTGATGTGCAGTTATGTATTGATCTTTATAGGTACCATTGTGTTGTATGAGTTTTGTAGCACTGTAAAGAAGTGTTCCTGAAATTTGCAGGCATGTAAAATAGGAAGACTTAAGTTTCTGGACTGGTGTTTTAATGAAGTCTCAGAGACTTGTGTAGATAGAGTTGTGAGGACCATGTAAGTGTCTGAGAGGATTCCGAAGAAGCAGAGAGTAAGTAGACAAAAAAGGGTGAGGTTCCTCAGGAATAGGTTTGAGACTGATTTTCATAATCAATTTAGGAATGATGTAAAATGTAGAAATAAGCTAATGAAGTTTGTTGATGGAAAAGACTTGGGAGTTATTCCATGAGAGAAAAGTAGTAGAATAAATATGGGAAGAACTGGATGACCTTGAGGATAGGACTAATATAACTAGGATGAAGTTCATTAGCACAAAGTGTAAGGGCAAGCTCTTACAAGCTTGTAACTTACAGCAGAAATTCTATTGTCTGGATGTTCAAGTGAAAATGAATTATAAGGAAAAATACCTTCCATGCTTGTTGATCACAGGTTTGTGAAGCTCTAGCTCTCACATGCATGAAAATACCGAATGCGGTCTGTGCTTTATTGCTTGAGATACTTCTGAGACTTCACGTTTGGTATACAGCTCCTAACCTCTACGTGTTCATGGAGGGTGTGGCTGGAACAGGTGGAGAGGAGCTGCTAGACTCATCGTGGTCAGTGTGCTTTGTAAAAAGAGACTGAAAATGTAATAGCTTATGCCAATAAAATGAAAAGGACGTGATTGCTGTTAATAAATGCATTCCCCATCAAGGGAAAAATTATTTAAGATATAGGACAATGGTGAAAAAAGAAAGCAAATATAACCTGTCCATGAATGAAGCTAGGCTGGGTAGTAAAAGAAGGTTCCTTATTATTAAAACAGTTCTGGAATAACATTCCAAGAAGGTAATGGGTTGAAAAATATTATTTGTTTTAAGATGAAATGTGATAATTTTATAGAAAAGGTTATGTCAGAGCCTGAGACAGAAGGGCAATTTGTCACTGACGCTAAAGCCCATCTGCCTCTATGCTCTTATGAAAAGGCATGGAGAAAGTGTGCTTGACAATGCAAGGGACAGCTTGTAGTGGCTGTAGAGGAAGCTGTGATGAAGAGTAGGGAGTGGGAGAGCAGAATGCTGGAGAAGAGAAGAGGGTTTCGGCCAAGATGACACTGAACAGAAATAGCCAAAGCTTTCAGCAATTTCTCTTGCAACAAATGAATACATTAAAGTGACTACTATTGTGAGGGAATGAGAACCAATATGTTCCTTTCTGTCCTGCTCCAGTCTTCTCCTCAATTCATGCTCACAGCTTCCCAATGTGCTCAGCCAGCTGCACAGCAGATTTACTGATGTTTTTTCTTCCTTCAGTGGTGCCTTGCTCAACGAATTTGGCCTGTGTTCTTGGGCCAGCAGGGGAAGAGTTCACTTGCACAGATTTAATGCTGTTATTTCCAATGGGAATTGCAAGGCCTTTGTTACAACTCTGGCAGTGGTGTTATGCCCTTTGTTTAATTTATGGTCTGTTGTTGTGGTGTTCAAAATGCTTTGTAGACAGAGGTCCAGGAGAGCCTTGAACTGGGTTTAAAAAGACACAGTTTTACTGATTTTTGTAATGTTGGCTTTTGGAGGAGGGTTGCTAAGGCTGTGAGAAGGCAAGGAGAGCACTTAGTTTTTAGAGGTGGGTTTAGAACTTAGAGGGCATATGCAGTCTGTTGTATCTGTTGGACTACGTCGCCTATCTTGGTGAAGAAAATACTGGTAGGGTGAAAATACTGGTGGGGCGAAGTTATTCTTCTATCCTTGAGCTTCATCATTTTTGTACCTGCAAGGTCTTTGTTGAATATACTCCATAAGCTGTGCCTGACTGTTGGATTTCTTTCTGTTACTACTCTGAGGGTATCTGACTGTGTTTTTCTTGGCCCACAGCAAAGTGCAGGCTCGCAGGGCTTTCTCTGCCTATCTGCAGCATGTGCAGTTGCGACTGATGAAGGAGGCTGGTGACCAGTTCCAGAATGCTGCCTGGGTTGCCAAAGAAGATGAGCAGATGGTAAGGAGCTTTGTGTTGGTCTAGAGAATGTGAAATCTACCCTGAGTTTTGAGGTTGGTTGGAAAAAATGAAGTCCGAAAGTACCTTGAGATTATTATACTTGTCTGTCTAGTTGCCAGTGCTGTATTTTTAGCATAAAAACAAGGTAGGAATGCTGACTGACATCTGAGCAGTGACAGAGTAGACACTAGATGAGTAGTGTGGTTGACACTTGAGCTGCTCAGATCTTTCAATGGTTCTACTTCACTGGATCTCCCGGCTCTGAGCCGAACTTGTTTTGAACTCTTCTGTCTGGGATTCTTTAAGATTATTTAGCAGTATCTGGTTCCTGCTGTGATTCATTAAACAAAGCACACATCAAATAGAACAGGTATCCAGTTAAGATTTTTCTTTGATGGACTGTTTTTTAGTCATGGGCATCTGCATTTAGGAGTGTTTTGTGTATTCTGGATAGAGAAGAAAAAGTAAGAAATGCTGAGAAGAGAAAATTACTATCTAGCATAGAAGTTTTTATTCTTTTTTGTTTGTTTTTGCTTTAAAGCAATGTGATATATTTTTCTAGGAAATATTTTAAGATGCATATATTTGGTATATATGCATCTTAGAGTGCAGCAAGCCCAGATTCCCTTGTAAAACCTTCCTAAATGAGCTTTGTACAACAGGCTCTTGAGTTTTCTGCAAACCCAAATGTGTTCTTGCTGAATGCATGTTTCAGGGAAACAGCCAGTGCAGTTCAGAGATAAAAGTGTGTGTCAGGAATAATCAGTCGACTCAGTGGAAAATGTTACCCCTGCTCTTTCCAAGTAGAAATTAAAACTGGCTTTTTGAGAGTCACTTTGTCTGCTGTGCTGTGAGAAATGATATTTAAAATAACAGATCAAACCAGCCTGGAGTAATGGCAGTGAGAGGCGAGCTGTGAAATCCAATAGTTTGGATGTGAGGCTGCTCATTTATGCATTTGCAGTGCTTCTAACCAAAAGCAAATCCAGAGGGGAGACAGAAAGGGTTCAAAACACCCACAGGATCTATCTTGCCTTAGGATCTGACTTGTCATGAGTTTCCCCCACTGGAAGTTGCACACAGATGTGGAGCCTGCTTGGTTGGGGGACTGGAATTACATGGCTGTAGATGTAGCCATCTGTTGCTGAGGAAAAGCTGTGGTGACAATGTACATATATGAAAACTACAGAAATGGGGATACATTACTGTAGTGGAAATACCTGACCAAGATTCCCTTCCCTGTGATAGTGCTCAGGGGGTTTTATGTCAGTGTATACACTTCATTACTGGCCTTCTTTAACACATTACAGGTTGTCTTTTGGAGATGTTCTCCCAAAGCATTGGACTTCACAGGTTATTCTATGTTGTTGCTACTTCGTGCTTTTTTCAGACAAATACTCATCAGGTGTTCTCAGTTCTGGCTCACCTTGGACAAGGCACAGCATCATTCCTCTCCACGGTCTTGGATTTGTAGGCCTATGTTAAAAATGCACGTTACAGAACGCTTTTGTCTGCCAGTTGTCAGCGCATTAGACACAGACAGTATGTTTAGTACTTGCCAATCAGGAGCCAATGTAGTACCTCTGTTCTCTTTTCCCCACATCTCGCAGCTGCTCCATTTTTAACTCCATCTCTTTTGCTTGCAGGAGCTTGTGGTACGCTTTCTGAAGCGAGCTGCCAGCAATCTTCAGCAGTCCTTGAGAGTGCTGCTCCCCAGCCGTCACTTAGGACTCAATGATCGTCGTCGTATCCTGGCTCACCAGCTGGGCAAGTTCATAATCTATTATAACAAGGTGATTAACTCTGGATTCTTCTTTTGATATCTTACACCACTGAACAGAGGGCTAAGGTACTTAGTTCACTTCAGTGCCTTCAAGCTTTGCTGCTTTTGTGGTACCACAGTGGATCTTGTTGGTGTATAATATTCTAGCACAAAAACAGTGGAGTATCCAGGGCTGCTAGACTCCAGCAGTTCCAACAGCAGTGTCTACTGTGGTTATTGCATATTAAGGGCCAGGAGATAGATATGAATCACCCATTCATATATAACTGCCAAGTTATTAAGGATTTCTGAAGCTTAGGACCCCTTGGAAATGCTGTTGGTTTAAACGTATTATTTTATAATCTAACTTGTGTAAGAAATTATAATGAGGCAGTTTACCATAGTGCTGTTAGTGATTTGGTTTCTATTATCTTCTTCTAATGTATCTGCTGCTGGCTGCTGTCATAGTCAAGACAAAGTTGTTTGAAGGGCTCTGTTCTGTAATTTACAGTCTGTTTGTAGTTAGGCATCTAGTAATGGCAGTTTGTCTCTCCAAATTGTCAGATAGACAACAGCATTACAATGTTATATATGTAGTCCAGTAATCATGTCCATAAAAGTTAAAATAATAAAAATCAAAGAATGGGAATTTAACTGGCAGCTTGCTTTTTCGTTGGTTTGTCTTTAGTTCTAGAGTTTTGTAAGGCCCCTTCCCATTTCTTCCTGTTTTTATGATTCTTCTACAGAGGTTAAATATATATTTCACATACTGTACATATACATGTATATATATATTTACCATTCATGTGGTACACTTAAGGAGTGCTAGCCATCTATAGCGTAGAGCTCTGCATGCTAAGTGACAAGGAGAAGTAAATCCCAACTTTAACAATTTTTACCTCTTTCATTTTTGAAGATGATGTTCTTAGCATAGTGGTTTCATGCTAATCCTTGTTTTGCAAATACAGCGTCCCCTTCCCCTTGCATTTCTTTGGTGTTAGAACAAGGGTAGTTTGAATTTTGCTTTCAGAGGCTGCTGTGCACACTGGCCTCCAAGCTCCTGCTTGTTAGTAGAGGGTGTTCACTTGCAGCACCTTTTCAGAATTGACATCTGGTAACTTGATCTGTCAAAGCAAGGTTGGTATTGAACCAAATCTATTCAAGAAAGTGTCTTGTATGTCTAGTGTTCACTGGATTACTGTGTTCGGAGTAATTGCAAAACACTCAGGTGGCTCTGTGGTGAGTTAAGAATGCAACAGCTTTGGATATAATTTCCACTCGAAGTGTATTCAAACACTAGGCTTTTCTGCCAACTCTCAAATTCACAAAATAAAGCTGTGTAACTGGTAATACATCACTGCATAAACATTTTCTTTGTTAAAACACTTGAAAACAGATCATTTGAGGTTTTAGGACATACTTGTTTAAGCTATTGAGAGGCTCTTGACTTATGTGGGGGTTTTTTGGTGTCTGATTTCAACATATAGAATTCTTTAACTGACTTGTAACTTTGCATTTAGTAGGGGACTCCTACTAGCTGTTATGCATCATCTGTATTGACACAAGAAAAAACACTGCCTCCAGCAAACTAAGTAAAACAAACTGCATATTGTCAAGACTTCTACTTATGTAATGAAGAGTAGACATGGGTCCCAGAGTGGCCTTTTCTCCCCACACTTTCACAAGATATATCTGACCATTTTGTCCTGGGAAAGCTTGAAGTAGCAGTAAGAAGCAGTGAAGTGAAGGTCAAGTCTGGTCAACTGAGGCTTATATGTTGGTATTAGTATTTCAGATAGGTCTGTAGACTTCTTTTATTATTTTATTAACAGTAGTGTTTGTATACAACCTCTAGCGCCAACAAATTTTAGTTGTAACAACTAGTGTAAAATATAAGGATCATTTATATCTGATAGCTTGCTCCCATTCTCAAAAAGGTTTATCATCTTTTATTACAGTATATTCTAGTGTATGTGTGTATTTGTGACAGGCTGTACTGTTTTACTGTCTTTGCTTTTGCTATGCAGTATATTATTTGTATGTAGATAAGACCTCAGCAATTTGCTGTATGACAAAAGAAATTAACTCAAAAGGAGAGCTCTTAGTTTACAGTAGGAAATGTAGATGCCCTTTGCAACCTCCTTTATTTAGTTTCTCCCGTTTAATTTTACATTTCTGTTCTCCTCTCCTCCTGAATATCTCCTTCTGGGACAGATGCTGAAATAAAAGGTATTGTGAGGAACTCTATTTGTGACAGAGACAGCAGAAGTAGAAAGGGGACCTAATATCTGCAAAGAATGATTTATTTCCCCTCCATATTCTCTTATGTCCAAGAAAAGGATATATCTGAAGTAGAAGCACGTATTTGTCAAACTTTCGTATCTTCTCAGCAAGTCACCTCTAGTAAGTTATGTCAGGTAGATGAATGAGGTGTAGTGTATGTTCAGCCTGCTATCTCTGGGGCTCTCTACACACATATTGAAATACATTTATAATTTGTCACTTTGGAGTTGATGTTCTTCTTCTTAGATTCCATGGAATTGCTTTTTTTCTTCTCTGTGTGGCAGCTATGCTACAATACATAGAATAACTACATAGAGAGACTTACTAATACTGCTTGTTCACAGGAGACAGAGCAGATGGTTCAGAAGCAATCAAAAAAGAAACAGGAAGAGGAGGAGGAGGGAGTGAATCCTGAAGGTTTTCAAAACTTTATTACCAGAGCAAGGTAGGAATGAATTTTATTCCCTTTGGTAAAGGATCTCCCAACCCCCAAGATGACTGGATTGTGCCTCTAGATACCTGTACTGACATTAGCACCACCTTCTGCTGAGGGACAGCGAACTTGTCTCCTATTTTTTCCCTTCCAGCAACCAAATGCAAGTCAGCATCTGGTGCATAGAGAAGGGTATACAATAAATGTTTTGAGCATTAAGTAGATCCCCAAAGGACAGCACTGGTTGCCCTGTTCTCAGTAAATTCTAACCTGATGGTGGTGAGCTATGGTCTGCTTTCCTGTGATGCTGGAACAAATGCAGAAGTATTTGCAAGGAGAAGGAGACCAGAGCTGCTGCTCAGATGACCTTGATCTGCTGTGGTTGAATGACTGTCGTGGCTCTGGGTCTCAAGTTACTGATCCCAGAAACAAATTTAATGCTTTCTGCCTCTACTTCAGGAACCCTGCAGGACTACACCCTCTGAGATGAGGAAAAAAGGGAATTAAACTCCCTGTCATCATCCTAGCCTTTTACTTGGCTTGCTAAGTCAGTTCAGTGCAAGCAGTTAGTTTAACAAGAGAAAATGCAATGTTTTCTAACTGTGTACACTCAGAACTCTCTGACTTTCTTACAAGAGTCTGTTGGGAAATGTATTTTTAAAATAGGTAATTCCTCTTCGTGCCCTGTGGTACTGTAGGAAAAACAATGGTGTTATAGCCCTCTGACTATGGAGAGGTCTGAAATGATTCAGTGAACCAGAATTACTTCCTCAAGTTTCTGATTCTTGAGCACAAAATCTGATTCCTTTTGACTCCTTTATTTGACCTATATATGATATGCTTATGTTGGCAAGGACCACTGTTACTATCTGGACAGCTAAAGTTCATCTGCCCTTTTAATGCATTTCAGTCTTCTCTAACAAAGTTCACAGTCACTGCTTCCTTCTTTCTTACAATCAATTATGAAATTGTTCTTTGTTTTCCTCTCTTTGGGGATAGCATTCTTAGTGACTGATCTAAAGTGGGTGATAGCTGAGTCCTCTCAGCTACATTCAGCACAATCTCCTTTGCTACATTCTCACAAGCACAATGATTTTTATATTTTGCTGATATAATTGGAGTCGTTACAGCAACAGATTTACAGGCTCCAAGAAAAAACTTGCTGCCTTTCAGATAAATAGTGTTCTAGAAAAGAATGACACTGAAGATATGACTACCATATATCATAGTATCTACTCCTGTCAGCAGAAATGCAGATTACATGGGTCCACAATATGCTCTTGGTTCTCTGACATCTCTTGCCACTAAAACTGCTGTTGTCTCCTAGGGCAGGCCATTTTCCTTTCTACCAGAAATGCTGAAAGAAATGGCTGGTTAGGGCAGAACTGCATACTCCTCTGTGTTGTTGACTACCGTGGCCTGATGCACAGTGTAGGCTGGAGCTGGAGATTTTTGCTGGCCCTAGTGATAAAGAACAGTTTCAAGTGATTATCTTTTTGCTTCTTAAGAAGTACTAAGTATGTTCAAGAACTCTGATAGCTGACACTGCTTTGTGCTTGAAGCTTAAATCATCAAGCAAGTCATATGCAGCCAAGAAAACGAGACATTTTTATACTTCTGTGTGTTCTGCAGTACAGTGAGTGCACACAGGAGAAGATGGGCAATAAATGTTACCGTGTAATACTTGGGGTTGTCCCAATCACTCTGTAACTTTGATATTACATGGATGGACCGTGTTTAATTATACACATGCTGTTACAATTGCTTCTAAATATCCTCATTGCAATACGAAAGTGTATCCTTGTGCTGGTAAACTCACTTATAGCTGAAAGCATCTTTCCACCAACTCTTCACTCTTATGTTTCTTCTTCACCTTATTTTCATTGCTTTTGGATAGGAGAACTTTGCGGCATGCCCTGAAGATCCAAACTCTCAGTTAGACTTTCTTCTTGTCAAGAAAATAATAAAAAGAAACATATGCAAGTTTTGTGAGATTCACAAAAGTATCGACTGTTCTGTTTGTTTGTCCTGCAGTTTGGCTAATTAACAAGCTCTTTCCTATTCTCTCCTTACTGCTGTACTGAAACTACTAATGATGACCTTAGAGACTGAGATTATTTTCTCACATGAACATGACAGCTGCTTGTCCTAGAGAGCACCTGGGGAAAATTAACTAATTTAACTGAGAATTGATTCTTTCCTGTTGTCAGTCTCCCCTAGAATGAATTTTAGAGTTTTCACTTGCTCATTATTGCCCTGGGTAGGTTGCTGGATGCCTTGAATTTTTGACTGCATAAAAGAATGTTATTTTAGCGGGAAACTCAGATTTAACCAAGGCTTCCACTCTTATCCTGCAGAACTATGCAAGTAACTTGCCTGGCCTCACCATTTTCTCACTTTTCTCTTTAACCTCCTTGTTGTCTCTCCTCTTTGATTGTTCCATGAAGGCAGAAAAGCTTAAAGACCTCATTTAGTTCCATTCTTCTCTCCTTATTGTAGTGAGAGTGAGCTGGAGGAAGTGCTGACATTTTACACCCAGAAAAACAAGTCAGCGAGTGTCTTCCTAGGAACAAACTCCAGAACTACAAAACCCAGGAACACCAGTAACCAATCAGAGAATCAGCCTAAAGTGGGTGAGTATTGTAGGCTGCTCTGAGGTGATGTTGTCCAGACTAATTCAATTTCAGTTTAGTCTATGGAAAGTGAGCAGCCCTTACAGAAAATTATTCAGAGTTCTGGAGGCTGTGTTTTTTGTTTTCTTTCTTTCTTTTTAATCCCCAGTGATTCTTTGTGATGAAGACTAGAGTAACTCCAATCCCATCTTCTTTTAGTGAAGTGAAATGGGGTGAATTGGGACTAGCCTTTATAAGGAACTGGATATGGTGGCTTGTGACTGAAATCAGAATATGGAAACTTTAAGATACTGACATTTGAAATGTGAAATTCTGAAATCAAAATAATGGTTGAAAGAAACTGAGGCTTATTAAATTGTGTGGCCTACAGTGAGCATACCCATTAGAAAGTAGAGCCTGCATGTTTGAGTATAATTAGGCATTCCATGGAAGGCAGCATTGTGCTGGCTGTTCACATCCAGTAGTCCATGCACATGACAGCATAATTGTGATCAACAGAGTTGCATGGTCTAAAATATTAGCAAGAAAGTCCATTATAGCAGTGTTTAAAAAGTCCCATTCCAGTGGTACCCCAGTTTGAATTATTCTAATTCCTAACTCCTGGATTGTGTTATAGAGCATCCTGAAGTGATGAAAAAAATAAAAGGTGATCAACCCAAAAGTTCAGTTGCAGATTTGCCTGCAGAAGGACAAGCAAGAGGCTATAGACCCAAAGAAGTTAAATCAACCCGTAAGTGAACTTCATTCATCAAGAAAAAAATAATTAATCTACTATTTTTAATGTGGTTTCAAATAGATGTTAGAATCTGTGGGTTCAAACTGAGGTAATTGAATGCCCAGTTTTGGGGAAGATTCTGCATTTTTTTATTTTAGACCTAAGACAGGTACCGTAGGGTGAGCAGTACAAGTGAATTAGCTCCTCTTCTGTGGGGAATAATCTAGATATGGCAGTCATTGAAGGAGGATATTCATCATGTAGAGCTGCCTCTTGTCTTTACTGATAGATGAGGTCATCTTGGCTTCGGTGGGTCGATGAATAGAGGCAGCTCAAGTATGTTGTTTTCTGAAGGACCTCAGAGGGAGCTTTTCTCATGTAGTTTATTCACCATCTCTTTCTAGTTCCAGAAGGACCCACCTTCTCCTTAAATACTGAACTGAAATTACCTCGGTGCAGCCCTTCTAGTGCTTCTTCCTCTGTTTCTGGTACTATGTTCCAGAGAAGTACCAGTTCCCAGTTACCATCTCAACCTGCAGCATCTGGAAATCCACAGGTGCCTGGTTACCATTCATTGCCGGTTCCCCCAGTTGGTCCCAGGCTGTTTCAGTCTTCATCTTCTCTACCTTCCTCCCAGAGCACAGCACCTGACAGCTCTTCTGTCTTCACAAATCCAGTGTCCAGTGAGGCTTCTAGCCTTGCAGGGTTACATCGTTGTCGTTCTGGTAGCTACACCATTGGGCCATTCTCGTCTTTGCAGAGAGCTGCTCAGATCTACAGCCAAAGATTGTCCCGCCCATCATCTGCAAAAGCAGGTGAGTGTTCTATGTTGTTTGATAACCAGCTAGTTCACTATACAGATTTTGTAATCTCTCTTCTGGAATAGGTGGTAATTTCACATTTCTAGAATTAAGAGTCTTGTTCCAATGGTGATAAATTCCTCGTGGAAGGGAAGAATGCAGGAAGCATCCCTTGTTTGCCAAAGATGCCCTTTTATGAAGCATATAAACATGGAATTGAACTTCTGAAAAAGCTGGAAATGAAGTATTGTATACTTGATTGTATTACTGATCTATTGTTTATCTTTGGTGATTTTAATGTAGTTTTGTTTAGCAGAATTCTCAGCCTGTGTTGTTCTTCGTGCCTTATATTCCTCTCACACAGAAAATCTGCTAATGAAACCATGATTTTTTAATACTTAAAGCTGTGTCAAGACCTCTAAAGAAAGAAAGATATGAGTGGATTGGTATTGTATCTCATTCTTTAGGACCTTTCAGAACTGATATAATAAAGAGTATCTCAAAAACAAGACCCAGAAACTACACATTTACTGTTCTAAGATAGGACATAGTTAAGCAAGCCATCTTTAGAGTGTAAGGAACTTGAAGGGTGGAAGAAACTGTAGAAATTTATGGATGCAGACTGTAACATGTTAAGAAAGTTTTAGGAAGCATACAGAGGCTAACAGCTGTGCTCCCAGTAACATGCTTTTCTTTGGTGTGCATTTGCTTTGGGTTATACATCAGTCAGCACACTTCCACTAGAGTTGCTATGCAGCAACTCTATATAGTGACAAGCTTTCTAGCATTAAAAAAAAATCTGACTTCCCAGCTGAGTACATTATTTAAAGGAGTCCATTTGTTTTCAAGGAAAAGCATTATAGATTTAACTTACATAATAGCCAGACAGCATTCTCTGGCAGTGGGTGCTATTAGATGCATTATAATAAGAAGAATGAGGGTTTGGCATTGACAAAAGCTCATATAGGTAATACCGGTGCAGAACAGAAAGCTGTAATCCCCCTAAAACCTCTAAGAAGTATGATACCTGCTTTTTCATCTGTGATCAGCAGGCTGAGAAAGAGTCTGACATACTATTAGGGTGGATCCAGAGAAGGGTCACAAAAATGTTCAGAGGGCTGGAGCATCTCTCCTGTCAGAGTTGGGGTTGTTCAGCCTAGAGAAGAGAAGGCTTTGGGGAGATCTTCTTGTAGCATTCCAATACCTAAAGAGGGCCTGCAAGATAGATGGGGAGACTATACCCTCTTTACCAGTGTGTGGTGATAGGAAAAAGGATAATGGTTTTAAACTAAAAGACGGTAGGTTTAGATTAAGTTTAAGGAAGAAACTCTTTACTATGAGGGTGGTTAAATACTAGAACAGCTTGTTCAGAGAGGTTGTTGATGCCTCTTTCCTGGAAGTGTTCAAGGATGGGACTTTGAGCAACGCAATCTAGTGGAAGGCATCCCTGCCCATGTTGGGGGTTGGAACTAGATGAGTTGGAAGGGACCTCAGAATCATAGAATGGTTTAATCTTTATGATACTGCTAACTAAGCATGACCAGATGTTTGTTTGGTAGGTTTGTGCCATCGCAGTCCAGGTGGACAGCATGTGGGCCCAGCCGGGATGCACAAAGATACAGAAGACGCTACTTCTCAGGGCAAACGTTACAGCCCTAGTATGGTAGCAGCAGAACTGCAACAGCTGGCAGAAAAGCAAGCAGCTTGTCAGTACTCCCCACCAAGCCACATCAGTCTCCTTACACAGCAGGTATGTAAGCTGCAGTCCCTGTGACAACAGAAAAATCTGTCACAAACTTCTGTGTCAGCACTGAGCTGGGATGAGGTATGCTGGAAAGAGTAAATCTCATGAAAATTGATTTTTTGTCATGTTGTTAATTGGAAGTGTTTACATTGACCAGAATTTTGATTTTCTGTGAGATGACAAGAACATTGCTAAAGTCCTTTTTGTAGAAGAAAGTGAGCCTGGGCAGAAGATTAGAAAATATGTTGTGAAAAAATAACAGACCCATGCTTGGTCTTATTAAAAAAAAAACAAGTCTTCTCAGATTTGTGTTTCCATGACAATTGCTTCCTCATTCCTGAAGTGTTCGCTTCTTTGTGACAAGCAAACAATGAAGACCTCAGAAGGTAGCATGAAGTGTAGATTTTTCTCAGTGACCTTGATACATTTTTGCATCGGGCTACACACTATTTTATAGGCTTTGCTTCTATATTGAAATTCAGAACATGGTTTGGGTTGTGTTGGTGGTCTTATGTCAGAATGAAGAAGGGGATTAATGAATCAATGAAAAGTTTAGAGCTGGGGCTCTGTCCAGCAATGAGTTTCGTTCCCAAGCTTGCATCTATTTGGCTCTAGACATCATTCTCTACTGTAATTCTCTAGGCCATGTTTTAGTAATAATCCCTCTAGACAGATTAAATCTGAAGCCTGCTTAGTATGAAAATGTGGATAGTTTAGTTGAGGACAATTTAGTTCTATTCTTTTAAGACAACGTACAATCTACAATTAAGGCAATTTTGTAGTACTGCATTACCTTCCTATGTGTTTCTAGTCAGGGTACTCTGAATTGATGCTTTCCCTTTTTTACTTTTCCATTTAAGCCTCTTGAAATATCACAGTCTTTTTAAAGTAGAAGTATTTTAAAACAAATTGTCATGAAAACCCCTGGAGGAGATCATCACTTACCAAAATAATAAAAATAGTACAGTTGTTTAAAGCCAGTCCAGCAAACTGGAGTTAGTGTACCTGGTTTGAAAGTACCTGACTGGTATGAAAGTGACTTGATATTTGGATTTAATAGTGTTTAATGGCAAGATTAAGACTATTGATTGTTGGGTGTGGGGTGGGGAGAAAAACTATTGAAAATATTACTACTGCTGTGGGCTTCTGCATTTCCAAGGGCAAGAACTTGTATGTGAGTTGGGTGCCTTTTGACTGTGCCTTGGTTCTCTGTGTTGTACCCAGCTGTGTCTTGGGAGTGGGGGTACTCTAATCCAATGCATCCTTCCAAGAGCAGCTGGGAAGCTTGTTTTCCATTCCAGTTCTTGTGAGAATTGCTTCTACTATCCAAGTACTATCCTGGGTCTCTGGGGTTCCTGGGAATGTAGCCTCAACAGCTGTGATTTGAATGATTTTGCCATTCTGGTTGGGAGTCCATCTCCGGTTCTCTAATCCCTGCTGTTGCTCACTGTTTCCTATCCATGCCTGCAGCCCCTGCTTCACATTTTCTCTCACACTCCTATATTCTACCGTCTGTATTAAATGAATTTAATTTAAATCCATTGGCTACTGAAAGGACAATGTTCAAAGGGCAAATTTTATATGTAAGTAGCTGAAGAACTTTGAACAAATGTAACATCTGTTTTCAGAAAACAAGATTTTGTGATTATATCATCCGACTGTCTTGTCAGTCCTCTCCATTTGCTTCTGAAACACCAGATGGGTGACTTGTGTAACTGTCATTAACGATAACTGCAGGAAAGATGTTCCTTAAGGACACACCAGAGAATGACAGCCTCAAGTTAAGTTATGAAAAATAAATGTTCAGTTTTGCAAATGAATAATACACTGAAGCTGCTAGGGAGAATCCTTATAGTTAAACATAAAGCTACCATTCACTGTTAACACCTTCTGAGGAGTTTTATTCCATTTTATTTACTTTACACAGACTTACATGAAGTCTAATAATAAAGCCAATTGTGAGGTTTTGAAAAACAGTGAGGATTCTGTACCTCCATCCATATGAAATCTTTAAAACACTTCCTGATTTTTGAGTATTCACCATCTAAGTTCAGTACTCCATAGTACCCAAAAACAACAAGGTGTTCCTCTTGCGAACTCCCACTAAGTCCTGTAAGCACGTAGTGTGGAGATATCAGTGGAAGATATGTGCCATCAAGGGTCCAGTATTATCCTGATAAATTCCTGGCTAATGCGCTAATAAGGAGGCATCTGAGTTACAAAGGTCACAAGAAAACAAATATGCAGTTGAGAAACCCTGTCCAAATCCCCTGAGATTCAACTAAATTTGTCTTAAAAAATAGAACGTTCTTATTTCCTTCATGAAAATGTTGAGAGCGTAGAAGTACGAGGCAAATGAATGTTTCAGTCAAGGGCTACAAGCAACTGCAGTTCAACTGTACCAGTGATGTTTGGATTTTTGACTAACCAAACAAAATGCATGTATTAATGAGCAGCGAATGGAACTAATTTGGAACTACCTACAACATGTGCTGCATCTTGCTTCTAAGTTACTGGCTGTAGGGAGGTGAGATCCTGGTGTCACAGGGAATGGGCTTGTAAAAGATGTGGTTATTGGCCAGGGAGATGTGCAAGGATGCCACAGAAATCAGATTTTCTTTATTCTGCTATTGGTAGATTATTTTAGTAATGTATTGGGGATATAGTCTAGGTCTGTGGAAACAAGTCTTGGAGGATAAGGGCATTAGAGAGATTACATTTCCTTTGTATTATTTTTTTCTTCACTGTAGTAAATGTATTTTCTTTCCAGGTAATGAAGTTAGACTCCTACCAGAAGAAAAGATAGGATAGGCAAAAAAATGTTTAGTGAGGCTCCTGTGGCTGGATGTTATGAAGAAATGAAACAAGAGAAGTGACAAAGTTTCTAACAAAAGGTGTGGTTGGTGGTGACATTGTTACAGAAGACAGAAATGTAGCAAATATACTTTTCTGTAACAAAGGCTCTAAAAGTTTCCATTAAATTAAAGTAGGGAGTCTTACTCCAGAACCAGATGACCAGGCACTGAAACAAATTAAAAAAAATAATAATTCACACAAACATAATATAAACAAACAAACCACAATCACCACCAACAAAAACAACCTTCCCATGTCTTGGTCTGTTATAATTCTTTGAACTGAGAAAAGTGGCAAGTTGTGGAACTGAGCCTTGTTGTTTACACTTACAAAAGAGTTTTTGGCGATCTTTCAGCAAGGACTGTTAAGCCAGGTGTTTCAGGGTGAGGGGTATATAGATTGGAAACAAAAAGCAAGTAAATGAGTATCTGGCCACTTTTCAGCAGCAGCAAGTGGCTAACTGAAGTTAGAAAATACAGAATGCACAAGCTGGAGTGTAACATTAAATTTGAAAGGAGGAGGTTAATAATGACTGGCAAATTACTACCCCAAGTGTGAATATAAAAGCAAGTTATTGCAAGGTAATATAGGGTGTGAATTTACGGTAGATTAACTGCTCTGTAGTGTTCATCCATGTGAACACATACTTGTGCAGCTTATGTTTACTATGTGAGGCAACTCTTGTTATCTTCTGTATAAAGTGGGCTAGAAGTGTCCAGACGTTCATTTGCTGTGAAGCTGTGTGTGCTGTAAACTTGAACTCTAGCCTAACTCTTGGAATTTGTCAGTATATCTGTATTCTTCTGTTGATTATTATGAGAAAAGCAAAGAGAAATCTAACTTCATTAAGTGCAGCACAATGCTAGATGAAGTTCAGTGTTTACAAACAACCGATTGCATGATGAGCAATAACCTCAATTGCATAAAATAACAACAAACAAAAATAATTGCCTGTTTTAGGAACAGGATAGGAAATAGTATGCAATTATGTGGAAATTAATACATTCCCTCCCTCAAATTACAGTCTACAATTCTGGTTGCCGTTTCTAAAGTGAATTTAGGAAAATATCTGGGATGAATAGATGAATGACTGCAATGGTTAAATACATAATGCTATTTTCACTTCCCCATTAAAAATGCAAGATAGGTTGTTTAGGAAGGAAATAATATGAAGGAATTATACAGAGCAGTGGATGACAAGGTAAATAACGTTGATTTTTATTCATGTTTCTCATAATAGAAGAAGGAGGGTATTCAGTTCAGTAGGAAGACGTCTGACTAAAAACTGGTAACAGTAAATAGCTACTGTCACAGAACATGCTTATTGTCTGAAATGACCTGCAACAAGATGCCATTAAGGTAAAAAGCTTAACAGGATCCAGAGCTAAACTGGCTATTTATGTGGACAAGATGAAATGGAATAATTGCCTCAGAATAATACTCTTTCAGATTGTCCAGAAGTTTTGCTTGTTTTGTTTGCCCATTGCCAAGCATGAGCCTAGGACAGTAAGAGTAATATTGGAGAATGAAGGCAGATACGTTAGTGAATGTGGGAATGAAGTCTGAAGATACAATGAAAAAGGCTTACTAAGCTGTATTAGGGACTGAATTGCGTTTGTTGGCTTGGCTTGTAATACAAGGTCCTCACTGGCTCCTATGCTACTTCTGGACAGCTGAACTAAGGGTTTTTTTTTTGGTTGTACCGACTGTTAGTGATTGGTCTTACCTGATGAATTGGTGGATGAAGGCTGTGACAAAAATAATCTAGACTTCTTTTTCCTCTGCTGTGTTCCTTACCAGGCATTAATCCCAAAGTCTGTACTTAAAGTGTGTTTAGCATAAAATACTTATGTGTGCTTGTATTGTAGGACTTTCTACAGGGAGAATGTTAAAATGCACAGCACGTGTGTGGATCTGGCACCAGGTGGCTGAATCCTGGATCTGTATATGCTTTCCTTTGTGAATAGCATGCTACTTCTCTCTGAAATACACCATAAGGTAAAAGGAGGGTTTTCTCCTGCGGTGCTGGGTCTGTGTGAGGTCCCTATCACTGGCTGGTGTGGAGGGGCTGCAGCTGATAGCTGCCAGGCTGGAGTACTTTATAGTTATTAATGCTAGTGAACAGAAGAATGTGTTGAATTGGCCAGCTT